AGTCGTGTCATGGTATCAACCTTGTCGTCAGCGTCAAACCATCACTTTTGCCTTCACATAGATTGGCCATCTCGAGCGAAGGACATCGTCCACGCTGAAAGAGTCTATTCGTACCTACGACTGCCTCCATAAACCCAAGCTTAATTGACAAGTTGGCCTACTGTTCAAACTTCAACATGCGCATCCCCCCACAAAAGAGGTGGACACTTTCCAACGGGCCTCGCCCAAAGTCGCAATTACAGCGAGCAACTAGCGGAACCCAGCCCCGGCTGGCATCTCCGGCACTTTCTTGAGACCTTCGTTGAGTAAGTCTTGACGACATGGGAGTGAACATTGGCAAGTCGCATTCAGACGTTGGTGCACACGGCTTGCCCCGCACCTGTACACATGACATCCAAAGACCTTGTCCCCTCATGCACTCCAGAGCCGAATAGCGGCCGAAGGTGCCAGGTGGGAGATTCCAAGAGTCAGAGTTGAAGAGCCCGACACAGGCCGGGCACCGCGGCATCCAAAAGGCCCTGACTGGGGTTCGCTGGTCTCCTATGGGAATAGCCCGATACATGCTGCTCATGCCGCTTCGCTCCAGGCCCGGGTTCGATGGTGTGCATACAGCCACAACACCCAACAGCCATTCAAATTGCGAGACAGTTTCCAGCACTACTGCACCGAGGCAAAAAGAACAACGGCCGCAATCTCCAGATTGGGGGCCAACGTCCATGCCTTCCAAGCCTCAACACGAACGCATGAGACGGGCGGTTTGAAGCGAGCACGGCACCACGGCAGAGAATAATTGTTACACACGTGGCTGCAGTGTGTCTCTCGACGCATGGATCAGTAATAGGGTTGGCCATCCGGATGCCCAAGCTGCCGCCTCTCAAATGGGGTGTGGTGGAAAGAGAGCACTGTTCAACAAGAGGCCATCCGCCATTACCAGACATCGACTCAGATATGTTGCCGAGAGAAGCTTTGACTCTGCATCCATCTCCCGTCTGCTGAGCTAAACCCCAACCCACAACGTGGTGGATACGATCGTTGAAGGAGAAAGTGTATGTTGCTAAGCAGAGATACCGTTTTCTCTCTATTTTGGCGCCGTTGACGCAAGTTTGCTCTCTTGGCGCGGCGGGACTTGGGCGTTCCAAACCGCTCGGAGGTGAGAAACGACGTGATGACCTGAAATTCAAGCTTCGGATGTTCTTTACCTTATTCGGATCGCCTTCGGCCATTTCCCCATCACCAATCTCTATGCCGTTGTTGCATCCAAGTCTTGACCGCCACGCGTGGGTCCTAGACGTAACACGAGAGCCCCGTCAGAGCTCAAGAGCAACTTAGCCAGGAGCAAAACGTGGTTCTCTCGAGCCGCCGGTCTCGGCTCCGGGTTATGGCCGTCCAATCTCATAATGGCAAACCCGCATCTAATTTCTCGAACTTATTTAGGCCCTCGTCCAAGTTGCTCGGCACCCGTCTGGAAAGGTCCGAGGCTCTGACACGACCTTGACAGCATGGCAAGGGCCGTCATAATGTGACGGGAAAGAAGCCTGGAAAGCAGAGAACACATGTATCGCCAAGCAACGGCGGTCGTACTACCCACAACTGCCGCCACCCGGACTGAAGGAAAGGCCAGTCATAAACCAATACTACAACTCCCCTGTACTTATCACAGGAAAGCCTTTGCGATATCGTTTCAGCCAATGTCACCTACCGCTCTTAGCAGCTTGTTCCATATTCCATTCCATAGGCCGTCCTGACGATCCTCGCACCGGCTCACCAACCGAGGATCTATATCACTGTCAGCTATCAGTCAGGTATGATTCTACAGCAAGCATGGTCTTTTCGGTTGAAAAGGCTGCCGGACCGCCGGGAACGTCTAAGATAGCCCTACAAAAGCTGCGACATGGTTGATAGAAGGAGTTGGGCAGCGCAATAACGTTCTACCGGAGCATGGCCGACGATGAGTTGTCACTTAATCTACATCATACAGGCACTAGATCGGAAGGGGTTGTCTGTTCATGCCCATTTGCAGGCGAACATTGGACTCCTAAGCTCAAGGTATCTCATTAGAGTACCCCGTCCCCGTCGGTGGCGTTCAGAGGGACGGCCTGGACAGTAATTTACGACTGCGGCTGATGGCATGGTTCACCTACCTGTCATGGCGTTGCCTTCATTTATCGAGCCGGGCTCTCCGTGTTCACGGAAACTAGCTATGCGGGAGTCAGGGCAGTGTCCACGCTTTCATTGTCCAAACTACCGGAACATGCAATGGAAGGACCAAACTCTGCTCAGAGCTCGTTGATTCGAGAGCTCTGACAACACCATCGAAGACTATGATCCTTCCGTAAGTCAACAACTCATGAAATCTCATGTACCGAACCACACTTTCTCACAGCTTCGCCCTCCATCCACTCCAAAGTTCCCTTGCATGTTCTTGTTTAAGCTTATGGGCGGTTAGGCGCGCACCCGTCCCACAAGGTCTCTTGACCCAGTAAGACTCGTCACCTCCATCCCAACGGCGTCTTCCAGCCGTACCAATCACCATCACGGCCCTCGCAGAATTTGGAGAATTTGGGGAACGAAGCCGAACCACCTACTTCTGACTCGAGGCCTTTGTCCGAAGCTGGGGTTGAAGGAGACCATCGATTCGTGACTCAGCCCAGCGTCCCCTCTCTCCCCACACTCCTCCGCGCATCCACTACTTGCTGCAGGTCTCGAACCCTGATTGCGTACAGAACTACAGAATCACTCTCAGCTACTACACGTGTGCTCTGCAACACCTGACCATTAAGAAATGCCGGCCCGACACGCCACTAAGACATGGCAATACAAGCGTTTGGAGAGCTACTGAGAGGAGGAGGCGGGGCGACGTTCGTCTTGACCCAATATGGGTAGAAACGGGGGCTAACGTCCCGCGCAACGACGACGCCTCGCGATGACATATAGCGAATAGCGAGTCATCGACAACAGCCATGTCAGCCACCCCCAACAACGTCTGGTTGCCATTTTGTTGTGTAGGGGACACCAGTGAGTGCGTCAAGCCTGGCCAAACTTGAGTCCCCGGGGTTTAGGCCGTCAACGTCAACCCGGTATCAGTCCGCTGACGCCCTTCCTTCCAGACGAATTCGCAACTCTATCACTGTGTATGCCTCTTTACGGTCTTTGCGGACGTTTGTGAGGGAGACTAGCAATGTGTGGTTCAGCAACGGCCCATAGCCATACAGTCACAGACGCGTCGATAGCAGACCTGGCCTTGCCGAGAGTGACCGATGAATCCCCTGCAACGGGATGGCATGGTCAGCAGTCAGACCGACATGTACATGCGCGCTATGTCCTGTCAGTTAGCGTAGGGATCTTAACGTCTATTACACCACCAGCTTGTTTGTTTCGGCTTGCCTTTCTTTCTGATGTCGCGACACGCCAAAATGTTCCGATTACAAGGCACAGGTTGCTTTCGAGGGCCAAGGAGGCAATTTAGAAACCCAAACGCCGCAAGACTTTGAAGCAAAAGGAGTTCAGATCCTACTCACACCCCTCTAGACGAGGCCTACTTCTTTTCTTCTTCGTCTCCAGCACATCCGAGATACTGAGCTAGGCTGTGTGCTGGTTCTAATATCAGAAACCCGGTAATCCACTCGTGATATAATCCAGTCCCCCCGGAGCATGCGGCAAGTCCCTTTGCCCTGCCCGTCATCGAAATACACCACGCCCACACTCTCGAGATTTTCTGCGCGCCGTCCTCTCGCCCGAGCCAGCCCCCATCGCGGCGATATCCGCGTCCCATTCGTCGATCCAACATTCTTTTGCCCTTGCCCTGTTCGTTCAAACGCAGTTCCCGATCGGCTCGACTGGGGACGACCACACCCAGACCAGCGCAGGGGACGGCACGGTCTTCGTTTCCCGCCCTTGCATGACGAGGGTGTTCTCTGGTTCATTGGGGTGGAGGGGAGAGAAGGTTTCCTTCTCGTTGCTTTCTCTAGACGTCACCAACACCACCACCATCACCATCCCAGCTCTGGTGAGGAGAGGGGAGCGGCCTTTCTTCTCCTGCCTTGACCCTTTTCAGCTGGTGACCGGGTCCCAGTGGCCGTGGACAGTCCGACTTCGCTGAGACGGGGTGAGCATGGCGTGTGGAGTGCGCGGGGCTTCCACTGCCTTTACCTCTGCTTAGACCGAGATGGGACGGGAACTCTTACCATTTTCCCAAGCTGGGCTTGTCACCTTCACTGCGGTCTGTCAATCACAAACCACAGAGCCGATGACCCAGCCATGTCAGCTTTCCACATAATGTAACGTCGTGGCTTTGGGAAGGCCGGATGGCGGGAGGGATCATCATGGACACATTGAACCGTATCCGCAGGTGGCTGGCTGCTTCTTTACCCGCTGGCCATCAACCTCAACATGGCTCTCGCCCATACTTGACCCATTGATACAATGGCAAGTTGGTAGGTAGGATATCCATCGTCATCAGAGTACACTGGCACAACCTTGAGCCCTCCTCGTTTGGCGATCACCCCTCCCCCCCTTTCTCTCCCTTCTCCCAGGATACACTACAATACGAAGACCCTGATAGACCCTGTAGATCTTCTTGTTTTCCGCCACTCCACGTACCCATCCGTAGCCGCGATTCCGTCGACGTATCTTTGCAAAGTAGGGGCAAAGGCCTGGATCATTCCGAGCTTAGAGGTGGAGGAGCGTCAGGAACGGGCATGCCAAAAGCGATAATGAAAGGGGTGTTCAGTAGAAGATTTCACATGAGAAGATTACTTGTCTTGACCGTAACGAATTGCATTAGTCCATACGCAGAAAAGTGACAGTCCTCTCTAGAGAACTGCCAATGGTCGTTGTCTACATGACATTGTCATAGACACGACTGTGTCTCGATAATCCCACGGTTTAGACCGAAAACGAGACAAAGAAGAGGCGGCACCTTCGAAAGCGGAAAACACGCCTCGTTGATGCTCGTCCTTACCCGTGAGCTACCTTATATGTAGAACTAAATCTTGTAAATGCCCCCCTACAAACCATCTCATCTCTCTTCTGACCAGCACATTGCTCTTCCAAACAAACGCCATTCATGCAATTGGCCATCCCCTTGCCCGATGAGTCGTCCACTCAATTAGGCCCTTCTCTGTACCATTTCCGCGTCCACACTTCCGCTTTGCACAGCTCCTCGGAGACCTGGCATCGGAAATGACTTTGTGGGTCTCAAGCTCCAGTTTCCAGGCCCCGAGCCGACATGGAAATGCAGCATCGGGCCTGGCTCGATCGCTCCCTCCGTTCTCCGCACTGGGGGTGACAGCCGATGGTCTGTCTTGGCTATCGTGGGGAAGTCCACAGGCCTTGGCCTGTGGCCTAGCTACCTGGGATCTGGAGCTTGGCCAAAGGTGCATATTGCTTCTTGTGGCCCGGCATAGGCCATGGTTGACATAGAATTGCGGTATTGGCACATACAAACTATTGCCATGGTCCAGTTAAAAGCTCCTCCAGTCCGACAGAACAAGGAGACGCAGATAAAGCCGGCCTCTTAGACACCCGAAGGACTGGCGAAGCTCAAATGCTGATCCTCTATACACGACTCAGAACATGCCCCTGCCACTTGCCAGTCTGACAAAACTGTAGGGCACATTCTGACCGACCAGCAGCCTCAGAGTCTCGACGGTGGTAAAGGCGGCCGTATCAGCAACACCGTACGCCGAAAATCCCGCCTGCTGAGCAATCAGGCCCGGGTCGCCGCCTTTTCTTGCACCTGCGTTGTCGGCGAGATCGAGGAAGACTTTTTTGAAGTTTGTGCTTCCTCGCACATTGGCGCCAAAGACACGCACCAGCATACCGACGAGGTTGCTCTTGTCTGCCCCAAGCGCCGAAACAAATAAAAAGGGAGCTGCATCGTCGCTCACAGATTGTGCTTTCTTGAGGCTCTCCAGACTGTTGAACGGCTCAATGACGGGTCCGTCACGAGCCAGAGCTGGCGGTGTTCGAAAGCCAACGGTATATATCTTTGCCATACGAAGTGCTTTCAGGGCGTACATAACTGATGCAGCATCTTCTCCAGATGACGCCAGCACAACAGCAGTTCGGCCGAAGTAGGCAGAAGGCGCCATATCTCTGGTCAGTGTGCTGATGATACCACGCCAGCTAGCGTTGTCCAAGATCAATGATGTATTGGGAGACAGGCCGGAGATGTGTGACCCCAAGTGGCCGAAAGAGTCATGGTGCCCATGGCGAGGGCTTGAGGGAATCGACGCTGGGGCAGAAGACGCCGAAGATGAGGAACCCGACTTGACTATGATTGTGTCCACAGTACCAATCAGGCGAGCTGCCTCAGTCAACTCCGCGCCCTTGCCGCCGTTGAGCGAAGCAAAGAACGGGCTGGCCTTGAGGAGGCTACTCCACGACACTGGCGGGCTGAGGTAGGCACCACCAAAGTTCTTTTGATTACACCAAGCCTCCATGCTTGAAAAGTTGTTTGGCAAGCGCTCTACAACGGCAAAGTAATGCGGCAGGCCCAGTTCATTGAAGCACTTCTCATAGAATGGTGCTTGCGGAGTTGAACTTCGGAAAGCCGGTGTTGTGATGCCATATATGCTCTTCTTGGGAAGCTGTCCAAGCAGTGCCAAAGCCGCGTTAATCTCCGACGCGCTCATTTGACCTGGGGCTGCGACTATCGGCAATAAGGGATGAGTGATAGGGGTGAACACCTTGTTCAGAGTACGTGAGAACTGGCCAGTTTCTCCCATGTTAACTCCAGAGAATGGCGGGGAATCCGGATAATCTGCTCGCATTTTCGAGCGGAAGTACTCCAACTCGAAGTTTTCGTTGTGGTCGTTGATGATGGCAATCATCTTGATGATATCGGCGTACTTGCTTGATTCAACGTACACCTGCTCGGCTTGGGACGAGGGCCATTTGAAGGTACCAGAGAAGTCGTGAAACGCAGACATGATACGACTGCTTCCCTTCTGTTCCCAAAGCTTCTTTCGAATGGCTTCCGGGAGCCAGAGTTCCACGTCGATATACTCAACTCCCCATTGGATTGCTCGGTAGAGATATTCATAGTAAATATCGGGGTTCTCCATAGGGAAACGACCATTTTCTCTCGTACACCTAGTGGTGAAGATTATCGGGAGTTCTGTCCGCTGGCGCAGGAGCATCAGCTGTTGTCCGACATAGCTAAGGCTCGGGATGGCTGAATATGTGCCGTCGCCGAGGGGCTCCTTTAGAAGATCAACACGAATTTCCACTGCGTCGGCGCCGACGGTGAGGATGTCGATATTTGGCAACGCAGCACTGACGTCTGGAAATGTAGTAGAGATGAAGTACGTTCGCGGTTTTTGCATCAACGTCTCGTGGTGGCAGATCTGGCCCAGAGTGAAAGAGATGAATCTGGACAAGTCTCGACGAAAGAATGGTGCTTCGGTGTAGAGGAACTCGTAGTCGCACTGAGCTGAGAGAAACACATCTGGTGGCATCCCGAGGTTGACACAGTGGGCGTTGATCGCCACGACGAGCTCCTTGTTGCGGGAGGTGATGTCCTTTGCAGCAAGTTCTGCCGGAATGCCAACCACAAGCCCTTGGTCAGCTACGCTGACCTCCTGAAATGCAGAGCGGGTAGCGAATGGCTTCCCCAGAACATCTGCGAAGACGGACACAATCTTGTCCTGGCCGGCGCCGTACAAGATGACTACGATCCTCGTGTCTCCCCTTTGAGGAGCACTCCCGAACCTCGTGCCCGTGGTGATAGCAGGACTGGCGTTGCGGTCAACATCCATCTCGACGTCTTGGTTACCTGACCCAACCATGCTTCGAGGGCGCGCCGGTGTTGGTCCAACGCCGAGTTGATGTACTGATGCCATGGCAGCGCTTGAGGAGCCTTGAATGTCGAGCTGCGAGAAGCGAGCTGTCACTCCCGGGACAGTGTAGTGAGGTGTTGAATACGAAACAAAGCCACGATAAGCCGCTCCCTCCCCTTCTCCTCCTTCAGAACGACTGGGTTGACCGTAAGGAAGTATGGTGGCGGTGGTTAGTGATGTCGGATATGTCTAGCCAAAATCCCATGACAAGACGAAGCGGTGATCCAAGTAAGATTATGACAGTTCGAGGGACGAATGGAAGCAGACTCGAGGGGGCCACAGCGGGGGATGAAAGGTGTGCTGTGATAGAGAAGACAGAACAGGGCCGAGGTGCGTCAGGTGATCTGATGGTGTTAGATAGATATGCGGCCGGGAAGAGCAAGCCGGTGGGGGTCGTCGTGAGGCTGGTGCATACGACGTGCCCTTGAAATCGGGGGCGTGATATGCGCTCCGCAGGTTGCGATTGATAAGAGTAAGAGAAGCCCCGTCCGTGTGCGATTACAACTAGACGATGACGACGAGAAGAGAGCCCTATAGACCGGTTTGCCGGGGCCAGGTAGTTTCTTCCACCAATTCGCGAGTTGCTTTAGATGTATCCTAATGCAGAACTGAAAGCTCGCGATTCCCAGGGTGGGCTGGTTCGTCTACTTGAAGCGCAGGCGGCCTTGGGATGCGTGCCAACCGCAGGCGGCAGAAATCTCGATTGAAGCTCTGGTGATGGTGTTGCAGGGCCAGTCGCATGTGGCGCGCGAGTCGGACCGTGGGGAAGTTTTGTGACCACGCAGCCAAGAAACACGAGAGAGAGAGAAGCTCAATTCAGATGGGCGGCGTGAAAGCTGTCCTGACCGGGTAAGATGGCGTCTGTGTGGATGTTGTTGCAATAAGAGGAGTTGAGAACTTGAGACGAACCGGCCGATGGCACGGGAAGGACAGGGCCGCAAGGTGGTCAGTAGTCTGGCGTGGAGAAGGGATTATTTCGCCGACAGGGAAGCGCCGAGGCGGCGGCGCGGTAGCTTTCGGAGCAGAAGAACGTTGTGAGAGGAACAAAATGAACAAGGTTCTCCTTCATCCGTATGAGTTCCTTACGGTATGGTATGGAAGTTTGGGCTAGACCAAGAGGTTGGAGATCCCTGACCAGACCGGGACAATTGGTAGGAGCGATATTGCTGGGATGACGGGGTCTAGAGTGTGAATAGACTCGTTGTGGACTTTGAACGGCAAAGCCGGCGAAGTTGAATCGCAATGGACAATCCGCCGCTTGTCGTTGGTGGAGGAGACGGAAAGATTGATGGAAGTTGGGGAAGACGAATTGTTCCACCACAGACGCTGCGTTCCACCGAGTTGCTTGACAAGAGCCAGAAGGGGGCAGAGGGGCAAGCCGAAGAGCTTGGCATGGGGCAGACGGACTGGGACTGGGACTAGGAGTCTACCATGGGATGGGACTACACTAGGAGCTGGGGCCGGGGACTGGGAGAAGGATGAGAATGAGGAGGAGTAGAGCTCGACGTTGGCTGGTGGTTGTGGTTGTGGTGGTGGTGCTGCCGCCGCCGCAGGCTGCTGCTATTGCTGCTACGGCTTGGCTTTTCTGCCGTTTCTCAGATGCTCCTGCACGTCTCTGGAGTCTTGCCAGGGGTGTTGGTCCCAAGGCAGACGTTTGCTCTTTGCTGACTGGATGCTTGGGGCCGCAGGAAGGAAAGCTTGGGTCCCGGTGGTTGATGAACGAAAGAAGCAAAGTCTTGGTTGTGCCGATGTTCCTGACTTGAGGCGAGGCGAGGCAAGCTAAGGTACGCACTCCCTGCCTGCGTTTAGATGGGATAATGAGACCGAGCTGGAAATGCTGGACTGGCCCTCGATGGGATTCAGTTGCAGTTGCAGGCCGGCTAGAACACCGTTCAGCGATGATCCTGTTTCAAGACAAGGCTCGATAGGTCTCTGTATCTGCATCTGGCAGTTAACTACGTAGGGGACAGATCCCTTGCCCTTTGTTGGTGGTATTGTTGTTACTGTTTGTTACTGCTGAGGGTGTGGACAGGAGGGAGCCGCCTCAACGCTTGAGACCTTGTCAGAGGAAAGCTACGTTGCTTTTCAGAGCTGCGAGGTACCTAAAGGTCGTCTACGATGAAGAGATATTTGGCACAAGCACGCGAGGTGAAGAGGAAGTTGGAGACGTGCGGGACCCGAGAACTCCCTCCTGGCCCTGGGGACCTGTAATGGCGACTCGTGCATACCAAAATGGTGGGGTAAATGGGGAAAGCATGGGGGAGTGCCATCCCCTGTGGGTTCCTCGAGACTCTGACAAGTCGAGGTAACTGCTTGTCAGTGGTTGTAGTTCCCCCTGAAGAGCAATTCTGGCTGGGGAGAGTTGGGGAGAGTTTAGCAAGGGGAAGGGGGAGGGGGGATCCCCCCCGAGCTGTCTGGTCGTCGCCGCAAAGATTTGCCGCATTTTCCCTATTTCCGGGATTTGGACGTCAGAGATTCTCCGCCAATCACACGATGCTCCGTCCACGCCATTCGGGGCGACTTGGCACCGTTAGTGTGCCGCTGGGAGGGAAGGAAAACCTCCTATGTGCATGGTTCAAGGATTCCACACACACCTACCTCTCACCTCTCACCATCAAAGTCTCTGTCTCTACGGAGTACGGATTACACTACTGTGAAGGTAAAGACGAGCATCACCTCATATCAACCCTCAAACAACAGATGTGCATCAGACTACCCGCCAATAATCATGTTTGACCGGCTTGGCTCACCAGTCACAACCTGTACATGAGCATAGGTACAGCGCTACCTTGGCTTCAACTCTAATGGCGCCCAGACTGTACTACCTATTCTCTTCAAGCCATCGGTCTCATTTACGACAAACCTACATGCCTTCTCGATGTGTGGTTGCAGCCGAGCGAAAGAGAGATCTTCCGCGGCCCATGTTGCTTACCGCACAAATGTCAAGCGTTCATGGCGCCTTTATCCCTTAGCCTGAAAGCGGTAGAGTTCACCTCTCCCGACTTGCATGGCCTTGGTATTACTTACTTGGAAGTTTTACTTTAAACATTTCGGCCAAAGTTGCCAAATCTGTCTCTCTTGAAACTAGTGGTATTTCACGACCGCCTGTCATAACTTCGTCTTAGATATTGTCCACCACCTGATGGATCATCAACTCATGAAACAATTGCTGGTCCCTGAGGAGAAGTCACGCTGATGATGGTGACGAGTCAAACAAACCCCATCTCGGGCCTGTTCCGGTCTCTATTCAGCGTTGTCTTCAAACGAACGACTTGTGCCTCTGACGGAGATCGCTCCTTCTGGGGAAGCAAATTGTGGGAACGCAATCGGCAAATATTTGATTGGGCCCCGCCGTCGTCAATACGATGTTCTCGGGATCGCCAGCCGTTGACTACACCTCCTGTCACCACCGCTGTGATGTTGTTGGGCACTGTTCTGGAAGCTCACAAGCCTGCTGCAGATGGCTAAAGACGGACGGGAACCCTTCATTCCCTTGGCATGATCCGTACGCATAGACTAGACCAGGCCAGACCAGACAAACCCATCTGAGAAGAACGGTTCAGCTCCGGGAAGCCACAGCCGCTCCGGGGCGCAAGACCGGTCCCCGCATCATAGAGCAGTCTCCAGAACCATCCTCCGTCTACCGCGTCTTCGGTCCTACAACCACTGTAACCGGCATAGCCGCTGCTGCAGATGCCAATGTGCGCTCGGAGAAAAAAAAAACACTTTTAGCACAAGCTTATCTGCCCGTCCAACAATCACACGTTGGCCGGTTTGGCAAAGGTATTGACTCCGAGAGGTCCAGGACGACCCAAAAGGTGGAACCTGGCAAACTCCCCGTGGCCCCCCTCATTCATCTCACTCATTAGCAAAGTTTCCTTCAAATTGATTCCATCGCTTCGAAACTCGAAGGTCACATCATCCAGGTGGGCTTACAATATCGTGTCTCGACGACAATTCGTGGATATGAGTGAATCGACTTCCGGCTCCCGCTAGCGTGGGACCACGAGGCCCCCGTCGTCGCCTTGTTCCGAGCATCTCCAAGTCCCTGACACGGAGCCAAGGTTTTTGAGGCTTAGATCCAATTCTCGAGGGTTTCAACTCATCAACTTCTCGTCAGCCTCGACCCTTTTCTCCTCTCTTGGCAATCAATCGGAAGCACATCGCGATCCAACGCGGCCAACAAACTATGGTATATTTATTGGTGCAGAATCATCTTTCGCCAGGTTCACAATCGGTGACGGGCTTCGTTGGTGGAGAAACATAGATACGGTGCCAAGGTGGAGCATCTCCCTCGAGATATGTAGGCCAAGACTCCCAGCACGAAAAGAACATAAGAAGCGAGGCAGATCAGTTCATCTGGCCGTTTTCGATTTCTATGACAGACAACTACCGACGCCAAGGACAGAGCCGGCCCGGATATGCGGGTTTCGTAACTTTTTATGAACTGCATTACAAAGCTTCAGAAGTTCGGAATCGAGATGCCACGAGATTGCGGGCCAGAAAGCTACCCGGACACGACCTTGAGATCAAACCACACCAGTCTATGTGACGCCATCTTTGCAGGGCGATATTAAGATGCTTCGGAAGGAGAGAGACACTTCTCTTGGCAACATAGTGGTGAAAGCCACGGCAGCGACACACGGACAGCCCTTCCAGCACGACGAATATCTAATACCCATTCGACTGTCAGCATTCAGACCAGTCATTTTCCGTTGTCAACAAATCGACAATATTCACCTTACATATTAGTAATGCCAGTCTTTGGCCTGGACTCCTGCGACCAGGGCTGAGGGATCGTAAGAGTTACGGCGTGTTGTCTTCCGACTTACACGTGGAACCAGCCCAACACAACCGCCCAATATTCGGACACGTTGGCATCTGGGCGTTCAATTATGTCGGGCCCCTCGCATTGATCAGCAATTTGGGTCCCTTCGTGCTCATCGGGGAGAATTGACCGCCTAATGTGGAGTGCTTCCTCGTTCAAGCCATGCACCACCCACAACACTATGCGTGTTGAAGGCATCACGGCCCGGGTCCGAGACGGGCAAATCCGTTCTCGTGTCAGCACATATAGCCAAACGGGCCAGGTGGAGTAATCGCCATGCCGCCTCTGATGTCTGAAATCTGTGAACGACAGGCAAAGACTCAACAGTGATTCAGCGGCCCAAGTGAACTTGATGAGTCCTGAATGAATGTGACATGTGCCAACCTATATCTTACATCGCTAGACTGCCCTCGATCTTAAATTGCGCCTCCTGGCGGTAAAACTCCGTACCCTTCAATGAAGTAGACAGCCCGATGCTACCTGTGGCCGGGTACGTTATATCATCATCAGCCAATGCTGTACTTCATCTGGCGTGAACTCTTGTGCGTGAAGCTTGCAAGACCGGCTTAATATCTTCCAATAATGCCTCATTTGCTCTCGTACCCCTCGTCTAGGCAGACCGTAGTCGAAACTGCCAGTGACGCCAATGTTAGCAAGACGGCACAGACGCAGAGAGTCATATGTGTCACTGGGATTGAGGGTAGACGAATAATGCTTTGTGTTATTGTATAAACATCTCGCCTCTCCTATATCTTCAGACTAATATACATGTCAACTTCATGTTGAAGAACACCAAAGATCTTGGTGGAAACAATTATATCCAAAATGCCGTGCGACATGGCAGTGCCTATATGTATAATTCAACATCAAACGCTCAAAGCATCACTCACCGCACCCCATGCGATATGCTGCAGCCGGGCCTTCCGGAATAGGACATTCCCATCCGTCCACTACGCCTCCCCGACGCCCTCGTTCTCCATCACCGTAGCCCTCGCCTCAGTCTCGTCGTCGACTTCCTTCCCGCCAACAGGACTCCTCCATCCCGTACTTGCCTGACACAGAATCGCAACGACCGCCAACGCCGCCGCAGCCCGCCACGTGCCCCTCGACGCAGCAGCGTAGCGGTCCACCGCGATCCCGTGCTCGGCAGGACTCAACCCGCCGTTGAACACGAGCGCGGGACTCCCAATGAGCTTCGTAATAAGCTCCTCCCGCCCCTCCGCCAGCCGCTCGCCGCCATCCAGCTCCGTGAAGCTGGCGACGAGACCCGAGCGCAGGAGGCGGTAAAACACGCCGCCACCGATGGCGGTCCCGAAACTGCCGCCGAACCCGCGGAACGTGCCGAGCAGCGACGTTGAGATGAAGTGCTCCTCCGGGCGGCTGAGGTGCAGCAGGTGCGCGAGGGTGTAGTTGAGCGTCGCGCCCGTGGCGAGGCCGTTGAGCACGACGGCCAGGATAAAGACGCCGAACGGCGAGGTCTCGGTGGCGACGAGCGAGAGGCCGAACATGGTGGCCGCGAAGCACGTCAGGCTGACGACGGAGGGCGACCAGAAGGCGCCGTTGCGGCGGACGTGCAGCCAGCCGACGATGAGGCCGCCGGAGCCGAAGCCGATGTTGGTGGGGATGAGGATGGAGCCCGCGATGGCGGGGGCGTAGCCGCGGACGGCGAGGACGAAGATGGGGCTGTAGTAGAGCAGGGTCCAGCGGATTGACATGAAGAGGAGCTGGGCGGTGCAGGAGAGCAGGACGCCCCTTGAGGAGAGGACGGAGATTGGGATGATGGGGTCCGTGACGAGTTTGAATTCGATGAGAATGAAGACCAGGAGGGAAACGGCCGAGAGAAGGAGGGATAAGGGGTTGATGTCGCCCGAGAGGCCGTATAGGAAGAGCACAATGGTTAATACCTGTGGAGTGTCAGCTATAAGCACGACTAGACTGTAGAGGCCAGATACTTACCAGCATAAAAGCACCTGCGTAGTCGATTTGAGCCAGCTTTTGGAGTACCGACTTGCCTCTGGCCTTGTGGTCGGAGCTGAAGCCATTCGGAATGCTCAAGAAAGCACCAATGCCGGCCAGGAGTCCCAGAGGTGTTTGGACACCGAACAGAGCTCTCTATATAAATATATTAGCCTACAGCCCTTCCCTCGCCAAAGACGGTCACGAGAACAGTAAACTTACCCATCCAATGACGGGCAACAATGCGCCGTACACGACAGCGCCAAACGACAAACCAATCGTGAAGCCCGCATTCACCAGCCCGACAAACACGCCCCTGCTCTTCTTCCCCACCAGCTCGAGCACCAGGATGACGGAGAGCGTCATGATGCCCGCGCCTCCCATACCCGTCAAGATTCTGCCGGCGATGAAGACCCAGAAGGAGGGTGCCTGCGAGGTTACGACGCCGCCGAGGCCGAAGAAACCGCCCAGCCAGAGCACGAGGATGCGGGGCGAGAAGATGGTGGCCAGGCGGCCGAACAGGGGCGCCAGGGAGGCCATGCTGATGAGGTAGGAGCTTGTGAACCACATTGCGTGCGAGTATGCGTTGAGGTCTTCGGCGACGACGGACTGCGTCATTGTCATGCCGGATGTATTTGATGCTGTGCAAGGGAGTTTAGTCTACTACCTTCACGATGCTATTCGAGACATGTAAGATTCAACCCACCTTGGAGGAAGATGAGAACCCAGGTACTCAGCATCAAGACGCCAGCACGCGTCTTGCTAATAGACTGCTTAGGCCCATCATCGTCGTTGTCGTCGTCTGAGTCTCGATCTCGGCGGCTCCCGGCCGGCGATCCATTACGGAGGGTCCGAGAAGACGTCTCCGAGTTGAGTAGTGTCGTCGTCTCGGTGGCATCGGGGAACGAAGAGGTCCCGGTCCTTTCGGCGTCAGCTTCAGAGGCGACATGTTGTTGCCGGTTGCGGAGACTCGACGGCTCTTCTACCGCCGCCATGTTTGATCGTCAACGGCCAAAATGCCTCAAGGTCTTTGTCGGACACACGCTGCGTTCGGAGCCGGTGTCGTTGCCATTCAGCCCTTTTCCTCGCGCGTCAACTTAATCCTCAAGGTTTGCTTTTGCCGAGACTTTTTGTGAGTTGATGTTTGGTGTTGAAGGAACAACGAGATGAACATGAACAATGCAAGGAAATACTGAAAAGCATCAAACTGCCTCTCTTTCTCTGTCACCCTGTTCTCCGAGGCGGATTTTGGTCCTAGTCTGACCTTGAGACACTGTCACATGAGCAAGTGAGTGCATGTGAGAGATACTAGAGGGAGTTGAGTAGTAGCGTCCGTCATGTCAAGTTGTTGAGGTTGCTTTTACTCTACCTGGCAGCAGCAAGCTTGGTAATCGAGCTCCGAGCTTCGCTCCCCCCACCTTTTCCCCAGGGCATTGCTCGATTCAGTTGCTTGCTCTTACTGCCAGAAAAACGTCACAGTTGGGCGGTTCGGCGACGCAGCTTAGCAGAGCGACAGGGTCCCACCCGGGCTGCAGCCAACTCTGCCCCGCTTTTGCCGGCTAACGGCTCGCGCTTCGCTCCCGGCCTCTCCAACCTCCTCTATTCGCCGATAATACCAGCCTCCGTCAACATTGATATACAACTGCAGGTTGTGACTTGATAAGGAATATTGTATCAGTTAGATAGAGTAAACATACGAGACCGCCTTCAGTTATCGCGTGTATTGTAAGCCGGTTTTTTTTTTGCGACATTTTTCCTCACTGTCTCCGTCCTGGATGTGATGTCCATATAGGCCCATCTCCGGCCTATTCGTCCGATATTTCTCTCCTTCGGGTCATATAAGGAGAACAAACCGATACCGACATCGGCACCTTGGAGCTGTAGTAAATTCGGTTTTCTATCTCTCAGTATGTGCAATTTGAACGAACTCGGGGAATCATGTCATGCGGCTGCGGTACATGCACAGCCGAGATGCTCCGGGAAAATGTGATCGATGCCAACTTATATAGCTCAAAATACTCTAAGGTAGTTGGAACAGTCCTTCTGTGAAGTATGAGCAATAGCTTCTTATGAGAGCATCTTAGGTCGCGGGCGATCTGGAAAGAATTGAGGGGAATATGCGAATGGTTACTAACACGCTGTAGTCCCATGTGCCGCAGTTTACAGCTTTGCGAGGAATGATGCGAATAGCTTCTGAAAATGGACCTCTTATTAGACACCTTTCTTCTCTTTCTCACTCACATTCATAACACTATTCTTCCATGCCGCTTTAAGGCTTGAGATGGGACCAGATACAAAGTAGTTGGTAACATAGGAAGAGGTTGCTGGAAATCGCGAACCGAAGTAAGATTAGCAATACATAAAGCAAATGGAAATGACACCGCTTGATCGAATGCCAAATGCACTGCAACACATGAGCTCGGAAGATTATAGACATAGAGTAGATAATCAGTCAGGACTTCGATACTTTTCGACCACGAGGTTTTTTACTTCTTGTCATGACTTCAGGCGTCGATGCTGGCCATGTACTTCCCCCAGAGGATCATGCACGTGACTACACCATCGATGCTGTTGGGTTGGATATGAATGGCTTCCCTTTTGAGACCACTTAGACCTAGAGGCCTATGTAGCTTGAGCCAAAACATAAGTACATCTTGGAGGCCAGCCGCACTGATCACCTTCCGGATGAGGGTCACTGGATGGATCTTAATCGAACTACTTTCAAGGGCCTCGCAGCTTACGACCTCTTCGCTTTCACTTTGTCTTCAAGTTACGCATTGACTTGTCACCACTGGAAGTGGACTTTCTCAGTACAAGCTAGCCAAACCCAAGCGATAGACGCGGCAGAATAGTGTGATTCGCAAGCAAAATATAATTTCAAGGTTCAGGCAAGACTCAAAATGGCTCCGTCACACAAGGAAACACTGACTCGAATCTCATAGCAAGCTCATTCCCCAGGAAGGATATTGTGAAGTACAAGACAAAGACGAAGCCCCGTCCGCCGATAGCCAACCCGAACGCCGATACCAAATTCCAGCCCCCTAAACGCCTTGTTGAACGTCTCCTCATTCTCTCCCTTCCTCACATCAACATCTCATCAAACCTCAGAACAACCTCGTTGGGTATCCCGTGGGCATCATATCGAAAGGAGCCGGCATGCTCCACGATAGGCCGACCGCGATATGGTAGGCCATACTATTCATAGTGCTGCCGTGTTGGTTCCCGGAGGCGTCCTCGCCCTGTGCCTTGTGGGTAGCGAGCGACTGCTTCTTGTTCTTTGTAGAAGAGGGAGAACCATTCGCCTCCACGGAAGGTCTGCCCTCCGAGTTATGGTGGCTGCGCTGTGATCGCGAAAGGCGTCGGATCCGGAAGCGTGTCTTCAGAGATCGCTTCCGCGGGAGACACGCTCGAGAGAGGTACTCGTCGTCGTGACCGAGCAGTGGGCTAACCTCCAACTCTGATATCTCCACCGTGAACGCCTTCTCCTCTAGCAGCTTTTCATTCACATCAAAGCTTGTTGACCTCTGATTGTCTCCATTTTGAGGTGTATATGCCATCTATCAAATAGTTAGTTACTGGGTATACTGGGTTGGCGGGGGAAGAGAAGCAACTACTCCGTTCACTCACCTTCTGCGATTCAAAACCCCGAGAGTCCTTCCGAGACCTGGCAGGCAAGTCTTGTTTCGATAATGTCGCGGGGCTCGAAGAGATGACCTTGCTCGGTCGCCAGCGCGGCAAATCGTGATACCAAGCTGACCGGCGATGCCCGCCGACGATGTGCACCGGGGACTGAGGGAGTGTGCAAACGTGCATCTCAATTGCGACTTACCCTAGATCTCAGCGGAGTGTGTAAGATGTGAGGGTCGAGAAAGACGAAGGGGCGCATATGTACGTTGAATTATATACCTGCCCGTGTACCCGAATGAGAAGGGAGTAGTGAACGAGTGCACTTGTACAGACGACTACCTATCCCGCGGGTCCGGCGGCTTTCATCCATGCTTTCCACATCCCATAAAATACCAAGAAATTGAGAATGGCGAGGTGCCGGTCGCACTGGAAAGTTACACATCCATTGGATCTAACCTTCCCGGCATGCTCTCGCAGGCTCCGTGGATTCACGGACGGCCGACGGCCACCGCTGTTGCGCCGAACGCATCATCGCTCACCCAAGGTATGCTCAGCACTAAAGGAAAACCGAATCCCGGGAGAAGTCTACCTTGAACCTGTGGGTGCAGACTTTAAGCGCCTTCCCGCCTGCATTCGGCGCCCGGGGGGGGGGGGGGGGGTATACGAAAGTTTGGAGAGGGGGAAGGGAAACCCCCCATGTCCGCGTCTTCTCGCTGATTCGTGATAGTTGCGAAATAAGCTTCCTGCACACTGCACACTGCGAAAGAAGAATGGCATGTGGCAATCCCAACTTGACGAAAACGACACGGCGACAGCCGTCGGACCGGGAATCTGCTCCCAGCAAAGCAAATAGAGTCATGGACTCGGAAGATAAGCTTCAATAAGGAATCGTGGGATTGCGACTACGAGATAAGCCGGAGGTGACGAAAAAACTAGGTCTTGTATATACTTCACGCTCAATGCAATATGTTGTCTCCTCTTCTTCCCTCTTGGCGTACAAAGGCTAAACCTTGCCGCGAACTTTTTTCTTCTTCTCTACTCCCCATTCCTGAACGCCTTCGCCGTCGATTACTTCCCATGGTATATCCCAGAGTGTATATATGCGTGTACAGCAAACCATGCCAGAAAGAAAAATGCAGGAAAGGGAATACAACATCAACAAGACCTTTTACGGCAGGTCATCCACGTAACCTAGCGTATCCCGATGTTCGTCGCAGACTCTCGCAAACTCTAGCAAAAGCCTCCAGACGTACAACCGCATGTCCTCACGCCTGAGCACCTTGTCCGCCCATTCCTTTCCCTGCTCGGCGATCCACCGCGCCGCGTCGTCACCTTTGCTCTTCTTCCCAAGCACCTTGTGGACGCCCCATCCTTGAGACTCGTCATCGTCGCCATCCGTAAAGAAGTCCAAGACGCCGTAGAGGTCCTGGAAGGTATTGTCCAGCGGCACAAAGTGCATCCACGGCGTGAGCCGGTCGTCGTGCCACTCGGCGTACACCGTCGCCTTGAGCGGCACGCTCGTCGATAGCATAAACGCCCTGAACCGCCCACTGAAGCTATACCCGTCCGCGTCGGGCAGGAACTTGCTCTCAAACTGCTCGGCCATGGGCGTGCCGTTGACGACGGACAAGTGCGGCGCCAGCCAGTCGCACTCTTCCTCCCCCCCGCGCCGGTCGTGTGCACTGGGCCCGCACAGGAGCTGCGTGAACCCGGCGTCCGCGAACCGGGAAAGAAACGCGCCGAGCCGCTTGTCGCGGCGGCGCTTGGTGTCGTAGCGATCTAGGGGAGGCATGTCAAACGTCATGGCCCGGACGTCGTTGGCTTCCATGCCGCGTACCGTCGTCCCATTAAGCATCTCCACAAGCCGCTGGCGGTGGAAGTGCATCCAGTTATCCGACTTTGCGAGACCGCCTGAGCCGGCGCCGCGCCAGACAAGGCGGTCGCGCTTCTCCGGCCACGCGGGCCCGCGGACGTTGCCGCCGGTGTAGGACGGGTCGTCGGAGAGGTACATGGCGCCCGGGATGAGGATGTCCGAGTTGACGCGGAGTTTCGAGCCTCCGAAGAGGGGGATAAGGTCCCTCGTGGTGTTGACGTTGAGCGGCTCGACAAAGGTCCCGTGGAGCGAGCGGAGGTGTGGCTGCACACACGGGTCCATGGAGCTCGTGAAGTTCTGGACGTAGCCTTGGCGAGCAAAGGGCGCCGTCCACGAGTATGGCAAGGTTGGCGGGAGGGAAAGGTCTGTCGCAGCGGGTACGTTCTTGGCTGGGGTATTTGCAGGGCAGGCCTCTCGAACGAGATCCCAATACTTGCGACGGTCGCCGCTGGTCCACTTCGCAGAAGAAGCAGACTTGCCCTGCGTCGCATCTACACCAGCCAAGCTCTGGAACACACTCGTAGCCTTGTTCTTCGTGGGCATAGCCCTCTTCTTCTCCTCCTTTGCCACATACTTCTCCATATCCTTACGCGGCACCAAGATCCGGGGCTCTTGCATGTAGTTAATGGGCATGTCCACGTCTGGCAGGTGTTGCGCAAACTCGGCCACCAGAGCCGTCCATAGCTCGAGCCATGGCTCCTTTCCTTCCGTGTTCCCCTGTCCAGTCGCCGTCCCGTTTCGTACCCTCACAATATGGTCACCGGCGTTGGCTTGCTTCGTGATAGTCTTGGGCTCGAGGGCCCAAAACGGCCTGAGATCGTCGTAGATCCGGTCAAAGAAGTCTTCGACAACAATCGCATCGGTGTCCATGGCGCTGCGGAACCATTCCTGGAATCCCGGCGGCGGATGTCTGCCCCTTCGCTCTCGATAGCGTTGAGCCGCTTTATGAAGCGTGCGGCTTCGTTTCCGAAGCACCGCCGCTTGTTTCGTTCGCGCGTCGTGAATCAGCCAGTCGATCGGGTTCGCGTCGGCGTTGCTGGCGTTGAATGGGTATTCGAAGTAGTCTGTCGCGGCGCCGTCGGTGAACTTGATCCGGGAAGCGTTGCTGCTGATCGTGTCGCGATACATGTAGGTGCTCGTCAAAATGAGAGTCAGAATGAAGACGGCCAGCACGCCCTTTAGCAACGGCTTGGCCGAGCTGGGCGGCGGCGGACGGTTGGCCCTCCATGCCATTGCGACAACCCGATTTTTTTGCACTCTCAAGTATACGCAGAAAGGATCAGATCATTGGTGTTGTCTTTCGCACAACAGACGGCCCATTCTGAAGATCGAAGGTCAGCTCGCCTACAAATTCTTGAAGAACATCGACCCGCAACTCGTTCAAGAAAAAGTGAGATGCTTCTTTGCCGTACGGATTGTATTCGTAAATAGAATACGCGGCTCCGGTGCCCCTTTCCCATCGAAGCAGCCAGACTGGATGACACCCCCCGGTTCACTGACGTGGGGAACATTGTGCTTGGTGGGGGAAATTGCACCGAACCACTTTAACTGAGCCCAGCCGGGACGATGTGAGCCTTAGCTGAATGAAGTTTGAGAACCAGCCATGACGAAGATGCAGGACGGTTAGTAAATACGCTCTTGAGGCGTTGTCTCGCGACGTTGAATGTCACCTAGTTGGGAAGACGAATAAAACGCCGAGGAAACTTTCTAGGTTCAAAGGCACGGATCTGCGACCCCGCTGGTCCGCAAATCATCACTACGGGCAGGTTCACCAAGCTGGCTTGGCACGGCCCCGTTGCAATACCGTCATCCCAAGGCACTGAACACAAGCCGTGATCCCATCAACTACTAGATGGTGTCAATACGTGGATATGTACTTTCCCAAGAGGTAATGACAAATTACATATCTATCCGACTCTATTTCACTCATATCTTCCTATGCATACTTTAGAAACAAAGTAAAAGTTGGAGTAAGCCTAGAGACGGATGTAGTGACGCCTTCTAGCAGTTGATGGGATAGTATGTCTTCAGAACTACGTAACGGCCTTCAGAAATACGCCACAGCGGTATCCAACTTCAAGATCTGGATTTCTAACAACAAATGGCCTGATGCCCCTAAACAACCGATGCACCACGGGCGGCCTTCTACAGCAGACTGGCGTTGAGACTGTTTGTGGCGTATTCTATGTCTCCCGTGTGAGATGGCCCCTTCAACGGCATCATCAGAAAATCCCTATGGAACGACGGGCTTGAAATGATAATCCAAGAAACTACAGAGCTGACTATGTGGCTCACTTCCCGCCTTATTTCTCGTCGCCGGCATGCTTAATGAGGATAAATGACAGAATCCTTTTCTCCGTTCTATGTGCGATGATACCCTCAGGATACAGAAACAAAGTTCTCAATGTTCTGAAAGGCCGAGACCCACGGCTCCTATATTCGATGACCTACTGCGACTGTCAAAATTATACAAGAAAAAACTCCGACTAAACCTTGTGTGTGGCCGTCTGTTAGATAAAAAGAAATAAGCAGCTGTATAAGACCAACATCTTGAAATGCGCCTCAAACCCTATGTCCCTCTATATCAGATGCCCAGCAGATAACAGTATCCCATTGTCCAATCACTTTCTATTAAAATCTCGCACACCAATTCGAAGCACGCGACTCAGGTCCCCTTCCCTCGGCCGCTGCCCGAAGTCCATCAACAATGACGCTGCCCATCTGCACAGATACGGATCCCTCCCTCTTCTCGGCATGACACGGGATGGCCTATTTTCAGGGTCCACAATCTATCCGTGTCGAACATTACGTCATTCCAGTGGGTTCAGTGCAACTCAAACATCGACTCTTTTGTTACCAACGACGTTCACGTGGCACTTGGCTATGAGCAAGTGAATAGTGAGGCTATTTGAAGCAATTCTAGTCGCTTGAAAGTAGTGGGTGAGCATGAATATGGACGTGCTCATGGTATAGTCGTATTTCTTTTATCTCGTCTTTTCTAGCTGTAGTCTTGTGCGCGCAGCTGTAGTCGATAATCATGTGGAACCATGCCCCCCTCGCGCTATGCTGTCTTTCTCATCTATCCATGCTTCGTAGATGGTAATCTAAAGCTAGATGCCGCAATGTGTCTTGCCTCCCTTCCTCCTCTTCCAGACATCGTGTGACCAAACCCAACGCCTTTCTCGTCTAATGATACAGATAACCCTCTCGCCCGATGCTTTCCTTTGTTTTGCTGTCTCAACTCCATGTCACATAACTAAGCGGACCCGTAGGTGCCGTAGCGTGCTTGATCATGCCAAATTCCAATCGCGATGCTTAAGAAACAAAAAATTCGCAAGCTAGTTCAGATACGCCTCTCAGTTGTGCGATTTGACGGGCTTCGCGGCATGCCGACCACAGCGGTGGGGGTTCTTGGGAGACTTGATGTAGCAAGTGTCTGCAGCTTCTGCAGAAGGCAGAGGGCCGTACTTTTGAGTAACGGTGCAGTACTCCAGGTTGGGTCCCATCCATTCTTTGAGATGACGATGCAGCTCGCAGCGGGAGATTCCACACTTGCGGCAGTACACCTGACCTTTGACGCGCATGCGCTCGAGATCGTGAGCGTGCTCCTTGAAAGCCTCCGGAGGAGGTGCGGCGGAGTCGCTGTAAATGAGGGGACCGGCGAACCTCCATGCCCATTCCAAGTCGTTGGGACCGTTGCGCCGAGACGTGAGAGGCACCGGACCATGCATGCGTCGATGGATATCGTAGAAGTGGCTGTTGGTCAGGCCGAAACAGGTGCTGTCGATGGGGTCGAGGTGGTCGAAGATGGCGTAGTGTAGCTCGGCGGGGAGGTCGAAGATGTCCATGCGAGCCGAAGGACGATGGATGCGCGCCGGCGGCTCGTAGTCCATGACTGAGTAGGAACGGCGCGGGGGCGGCAAGGGAGGTCGGCGGACCTGGGGCGGTTGAGGAGCGTGCTTCATATCCTGCATTGGAAGCTCAGATTGTTCTGGAACAGAGGCAATGGCATGTCTCTCTATAGCTTCGTGTTGGGTTGGAGGAGGTGCGGGATACGCGGAGGCCGCAGCTTGAGGCGCGGGGCTGCCCTGAGCTGATGCCACGGGGGAGTCGGTGATGGACCAGCCGCGACGGGGAGTGCGCCAGCCGGCACGCTTCTTGCTGAGCTCATCGATCATGACCTGACGTTCCTCCCGGGTCATCATCTTGTTTTCCTGACGAGAGGCGAGGTTGGTTGCGAGTAAGAGACGGGCAACAGAGGCGACGTGGTCGGCAGAGTCTTGAGACTGCTGAGGTTGACCATTCTGCGCGAGGCCTGAGGGAAGTACTTCAACCATCGTGAAGAGGGGGGTACTTGTGTAACGGCGTTGTGTTGTCCTGGAAGGTTTGTCGTCGGTGGCCCGAGCTGGGCTATTATCCGACGATGTGTGTGGTGTGAAAGCGAGCGAGCGGGGTTAGAGGCGGCCAACCAAGTTGAAAGCTTGGTGTCTCGTGAGATGGATGAGGGGGTTTCCTTTCCGTTGATGCGGTTGAGGATCACCTATCAATGGAGAGGGGAAACGATGTCGTCGAGGAGGAGGGTAGTAGTTGTCTCGTCGTATTCAGGCTGAGAGGAAGGAGGATCAATAGTCTTCGGCTCACTTATGATTTGCGAGTCGAGTGAGTTTTGTTTTCAGGTAATAGCAATGTTTTGGATGGGAGGGCCAGTGTTGGATGGCGGTGGTCGTTGTTGCGAATGGGAATGCCTCAATAGCAAGTTCATGAGGCGAAAATAGGGTCTTTGATCAAGGGCCCAGGGGAGGAGTTCGTTAGATATATAAGGGTACGTCAACGGCAAAAGCAAAGAAGTGACAGGAGCCCGATGAGGTAGTGTCTAGTGCAGATCGGTCGAGGTGCTTCTCTTTTTGATGAGGAAGAGAAGAGACGGGAAGACAAGGAAGAAGGGAAAAAAGGGTCTGAGGGTGTGCGTAGACTAAGTGGTGTGATGGAGCCAGCACCGGACGGGAAAGGCGATGTTTGCCCGTCGCGACGTCCAGACCGACGGAGCCAACTAAGTCGCAGGTACAAGCTCCAAAGAAGGAGGATAGGTATGTCGGCCGATGGCAGGCCAGATTAGCGGGCTGTTATTTTGGGGTCCTTCGTACACTACAGTGTACGCTACCTTTGCCTGGATTGGAGAGCCATACGCCATAGCGGCCAAGTCACGCACCTCCAACTGTCTACGATTCTCCCAGCACAGCGCCTTTTCTCTGTCCATCTCTATCCAGTCAGAGCCAGTGTCTCCCCTGATAACCTAGCGGATAGTGCGATGGATGAAGGTAGGAACGCTAGGTATTCCCGGGCTGCTAGGTGGTGGAATAAGTGAAGCGTGGGAGGGGTTGCTGGTCCCTTGGTCTCTTTCGTCTGTACGTTTTCTGTCCTCGATGGCTTCCCATTGGTTCCGGGAGGGAACATGGCAGAAACAAAAACGGGGAAATTCGGTCATTGGTATCCTCGCGCGAATCATGAAATGCCATGGAACTCGCCCATCTCGCTTCCAGCAACTCTTTGGGAACCACAGAAACTAAAAGGTAATCTGGGATATCTCGCAGATTTCAAACACAAAACACTGGAGATCAACTGGAAGGACCGAAAGCCAACCTCCCAGCGTGCCCCGGCTACAGGTGAAAGAGAGAGGCTTTCTTAGGCGCTGAAGGGGTCTTTGCCTGCGAACGCAACGGTCTCTTGCAAGCGCCATCCCAAAGTACCCGGTACCCGAGCCCGGCTACTTTCGTCATAAGGCAACAGTAGCGCCGTTCAGGGTACCGCAGATGAGGGAGCCACTGACTGAAGGAGGAAGGCATCTAAGGTAAGGCGTTCCACCGTCGTCACTTCCGACAGACACAACGCTCGGCAGCTCGGAAAAGCGAGAGAGTGTTGCGAATCACCTCACCATCTGCCTACATCCTATCCCTACTTATGACCGAAAGAAACCAACTGACAGCAACCCTCGATCACCCCTCGTTTCTCCCCGCTTGGCGCTTCCGTGTCTTGGTCTTGATTGACCTACCAGAGCCTCCATGCATGAAGCATCCAAGGGAACAACGACGAGGGCACGAGGGTTGGCGCAGGATGCTACTCGTTGATAGGCCGTGTTCCAGCCCTCGAGGATTCTGGAATTGGCCAGACGTTGACAGCACGCATAGGAACCGGTCAACTAACTACTTCAAGGCATGCTCTCAACGATTGCAACTGGCGGCCATTTATGAAGGAACTTCCGCAACCCCGAATCAGTGCTACAAGTCGTAGACTGATCCCTCGTTCACACGTCAACCCATGCGAGATAATCATGGCGAAAGACATCCATCAGTCGAGAATGATGAATCTTCCAAGCCGATTGAACTTGGATCATGAACTTTCTACAGCCGCCAAGGGGCCTCCTTCGCATGGCCAGCAAGGCTGCCGCTCCCGCTGTAACTCACCGGCAGCTTGCACACCGGGAATCAATGGTCCCATGACCACCCAGCATCGGCCGAGTGAGGCTGCTGTTAGGCTGCCAGTCGCACGGCACTGGTACAGTAGTCTGTGATCTATCAGATCAGGACAACGAATATGCGACTGGTTGTCATCCTAGCTCGCCCGTCTGCCCGTCTCTATCTGTGCGTCCGTATCCGTAGGTATATACCCTTCTGAGGTCTTTCTAGACTCGGCCGTTGTTACATCAATCCTACTCAGCCAGACCGCCATCGAGAAAGGAAACAGAAGCCAAAAGCAGGGTATCCGTCCTTCTCTCAGGGATCGACGTCGTCATGGCTGCTGCATTCGCTGCACCACCCGCAGGTGTCCCCCAAGATTTGTGGGGTTCATCAAAAGAGCGGTGGCGAAATGGTACATGATTGCAGCGTAAAGGGACTTCGAACATCATGCATAGTGGTTGGACATTCATCTCCTGATTGTCTCCGCATCTCAGTGCTCACTCACTTTATCTGATTCCCCCGGTTTCTCTCCAATGGGCTACTGGGGAAGACTGAACATCTGGGGAATGTCTCGAAAGGGTATCCCGAGGCACGACATATCTTTTGAGAGGCATTTGTGGAAACATACCGCATAGTCACAAGAGAATTCGCCAGTCTGCCTAGCTCAAGTTACTTACACTACAACAAGCAGAGACACCATCCTGCTCACGAATCCGATGTGGTAATTACATCTCTCTACAAAGCTTCCGTCCCCCACGGGCCCCTTCCGCGCCCGCTCCCGCCGTCGGCGCTCACCGATCAGGCCAGGGCAGTCGGCTTACATTGTTCCAAGTATACTTCTGGGCAGAGCTGTCAGTCGGGCATGATCTGACTTCTTGCCGCCCTCCCACTTGTTCTATCAGCCGCAAGTTTTCAAGCGACAGCTCGAACCGCGTCATGAAATGATGGAGTTGTGAATCAGGCCGCACTTCAACTTGCGTATGCCAAAGGCAAGACAGCGGCACGGCCGGGAAGTTCCTGTGACTTGACGTGAATCAAAGAAATTTGTCTCTATTACCTGCCCATCTGTCGAGGCGACGCTCTGTGTGTACTTCCTTCACACCCAAAACCCGAGATAACTTTTTTCTTCCTCTCTCGTGGTTTATGACCATCTCCGCTACCGGCGCATGCTCGTTCACGCCGGAGAGGGTGTACGGCAACGTCTTTTCTGAGGATTCGTCCATCCCAACAATCCCCGAGGGGGTTATTCCCGACTCGCGTACTTGTGTAACCATGGGATTCTTCTTTTGCTTCGTGCTGCAACCATCCTTCGTCGACAACAAGCTTTTCATAGGAGACGCCTGGCCACGCACGCTGGCCTAGACTTGTTCATGTCTAGCGGAACCAAAAAGTTTGCTCACGCTTCCGCCGGGAGGCGAAGAAAAGGTTCAGAGAGGAAGAGGAAAGGCTGAAGCTCGTTCGTTAACGTGCCCGACTGACAAGTAGGTTCGGATGTTCGTGTACCTTAGGTAGATACATCGCAAAGAACAAAACATTAATAGGGTCTGACGGCGTTTCTTTCTTTTGGTTGGAGAGCCTGGATGTTGCGACGGCTTCGGCAGCATGTCATCGTGAAAGGAGGCCCGTGTCTCTTCTACCTTATGAGCTGCCATCGATAACTAAACCTATAGCTTCAGCTCTACCGACCAACTCCATCAAGTACGTGTAAATGCCGTATATTGACTTTACTCGAGGCGAGCGACTCCGATCCGTTTTGTCAACAGACCTTGAAGTCCTTGATTCCCACACCGGATGCATTCAGAGATATATTCACAGACTGTCGAGTTCCTTGAGTCTGCCGTCCTTGTGCTGGAGGTAGCTGTACCCGAGTCGCCTGCCACACATCACACAATGGTTGCAATATTGGCATGGCTCAGATCTTATAGTCGTCGGGCGAAGACTAAGAGATGCATAACAATAACATTTTGAATTGCAAGGATGCGACCTCGAGTCGTGCAATGCACTGCTGTACCACCTGACAACGAACTCAACAAAGATATAAACAAAGCTATTGTCATCTGGTACAAGCCTGGGGCGCAGCGAGTCTCGTCATTTGCATGTATTCTCATTAGAAAAACAGAAGAACTCCGGCTATTTTTTTCGTGGTTTGGAGACAAAAGCAACTCAAACACATGAATAGACCTTGCGCAATCCCGTTCGCCGTATATGCCTGCTTGACTAAGGGGAATTCGGACCAAGAAAGTGAACTTCATCCTTTTCGAAGCTGGACGCTTATCTAGGGGGATGATGCCACTGCGTTTTGGTCGTCAGGCTGCTCTGGTTATGCCCCATTTCAGGGCGTTCCACGCGCCGACCCAGTTTCCGTAAGGCTTCCGTTCTTGCGAATGCGCCCATGTGGTTTGTAATTTTGGAAACGTAAACGAGAATGAGAGCGGACGCAGACCTCAGCACGCTGGGTCAACTGTCTCCCCCTATTTGTGTCCTCGAGTACTGAGCCTTGCTGTCATCATCGTTTAGATGGCGACCCAGATGAGCATGATCACGACATCCATGCCCTTGCCCTCGCCGCCGTCGTACTTGTAAGACCACATGCCGTCCTTCTTCTCGTCCCAGTAGGCGCCGGTGGCGGAGTGCATGCCGCGGCGGCCGACGTGGGGCTTGCCGTCAGTGGCGGTCGCATCGGCGCTCGTGGAGACCGAGGGCTCCTCCTCCTTAACGGAGGTGCCCTTGGACTTGTTGAGGGAGGATGTCGGGACGAGGTGCTGGACGATTGTCGAGTTGCAGGCAAACTTGTACGCGGGTGCGGAGCCGCCTTGGGGTGTCGACTCAGAGATGACGGCCTTCAGGACGGAGGACTGACGAGGTTCACGAGGGTTAGTTCATGGAATCTCTGGGTAAGAGCAGCGGCATCAGATGCAGAGAGGAAACGTACAATGATCTGAGAGTTCCATGTCTCGGTCTTAGCGTGATCGTAGAACTCAGCAGAGCCGATGGCTGATTGGCAAGCCTGTCAACGAGACTGGGTTAGTGGGTTGTCTCCTAATGTTTTGGCTACATTGACGATGTTGTCGCATGGGGAGCTTACATCCGTAGCAATCTGCTTAAGACGGTTGAAGGCGACGGGCTGTCAAGATCGAGTCAGTAGGCGGTCCATTGAGATCTTAGCGTGGGGGGAATTTGACATACGGGAGTCGCTGTCGTAGGGGCGGCGGGCGCAGACATTGTGATCGGATGTTTTGTTTGGGAAAGGGGAGAGAGGTTGTAGGTTGTTCGAAGGCTTTGTGCGCTTTCTCGTTTCGTTATGTATGGGGTTTTTGGAGTAGAAGGTGTGAGAGTGTGCTTGAGCAATTGTGCCGATATCTCGAGTGTATGTAAGTTGTGAAGAGGTTGTGTTGACAGATCGGGACAAGACGACAGAAATGAGGCTCCTCCACAAAAAGTTACCAGTGTTGTGATGCCAGCCCGATTCGGCCGCCTCTCGTTGCATCCACGGGCCGTGCTCCCCAGGTGCGCGGGGCAACGAGAGGTCACGTGTCTCTGTCATCGGAAGGTCTCTAGCCACACCTCCATGGCCCCTGCTGAGGCTTGACGTCTCCAAGTGTGGCTTCCCCAATCAGAATGCGATTGAATTGCACGTGTACCTTGCTGCAGAAGTTCGCAGGCAATTGACATGGATCTGTACTGTGGCTGGTGGGGAGGTGAGCTTTAGCCGTGCACGCCGTGCAGGCTTAGCGTCACAAGTCTGCTCTGCAATGGAGCTTTTTTCTTAAGGAAGCGGCTTTTGAGGGGCTAGTCGGCCGCAGTGCAGGTGCATCGTCTGTGGTCGTATCTGAACAAGCTTTCAAGCGGGTTCTCTCGGTTACAGATTCTCTCGTTCTCTCTCCTCCTCCTCTCTTTCCTCCCTTCTCTCCCTCACCTCCATCTCCGCAGTCAGTCTTTTCGTTGAGATCCCTGATAGAGTTTTTCCCGATTGTTCAGACGAATAATAGCGAGACTGTAGAAGAGAAAGCAGTTGACATCGCGCGACTCGCTTCCACTGCCCCGTTGTCACGATAAACACAGTTGCGGTTCCGACGACTAGCCCGACGCGAGCCTGAGCTCTCCATCGACGCCCCAATCGCAATTCTCTGACGTCGCATTACCATTCTCCTCAATCCTGGTCATCTTTGCCGAGACAGTAAACAGTAGACTAAGGGTAGGAATTGGGCATACCGAGCGAGAAGACGAAAGACCGCCGACTGAACCAGTCCAGGTTGCGATAGAGAAAGCCACGACCGCAAACCACGATACCTATACTCGAGACAGTCCAGTCAGAAATAGCAATTCACAATGTCTAGCCAACCTCTTCTCCAGACCGCTCCGGGTACGTACAATCACGACGCCGTACACATCAGTGCCCGAATAAGCACATAAACAAGAGAAAGTGAGAGGTCACTAACAAAGTCGCATTACCAGGCAAGCGCATCGCCCTTCCTACGAGAGTCGAGCCCAAGGTCTTCTTCGCCAACGAGCGCACCTTTCTCTCATGGCTCAACTTTACGGTCATCCTTGGCGCCCTCGCCATCGGCATGCTCAACTTTGGCGACCGCCCGGCCTTTATCAGCGCCTTCCTCTTCACTGGTGTTGCCATGCTCACCATGATCTACGCCCTGGCCACGTATCACTGGCGCGCGAAATCTATCCGCGTCCGCGGCCAGGCCGGCTTTGACGACCGCTTCGGCCCCACCTTTTTGGCCATTATCCTGCTGCTGGCCGTCGTTGTCAACTTTGTCCTGCGCATAACGTACTCGTCCAAGGAGGGAAAGCACTAAAAGGTAGGAGTAAACATGCTTTGTACTCCTAGCCCCTGTTCAGAATCCCGAGGACAATGTTGGGAAGAAGAGGGGCAGGAACCGGGGCCTATATCTAGTTGTTGACAAATTGGGCCTTGCGAACCCGGAGAGGCGGGCTTTTGCTGAAACGCGCAAGTCACGACAAAGGCATGTGTACGAGGAAGGATTGAGAGTCGGTAGCGAAGGATTTGTTATTTTGAGAACAAGTTTGCATGGTTTTATAATTTGGCAGTTCTCTTATGTTTAGCTCAGGCGTACGCAAACAGTAAGCGGATGTTGAAGGTGTATAGTTGATAGGAAAAGCGAATGCATCGGATTAGGCGTCGGAAACATACTAAAAACGTCTACACTACGCTCTTGTGCTGGAACCTGTTTACCCACACATGTCATCATCAGATGGATACGGCTCACATAAATGTTTAAGCGTGAGGGAAGTTGCCTTGTTGGCTCCACGTCTATTCCCCATGCTGTCTATTCATCTCATGTTTCCAGCGGGTTCGAAAGCCTTTTGATATCGGCTTTATCCCGCCCGTTTTGGGTATCAAATGGTAGCCCCTCCCTTCCTATAACGCCTCTCGATGCAATGCCAATGATGGATGCCGTTGCAAGCGACATCTCGCGACTTCACTCCTCGGACATCTCTTTCTCTTTCGTTTCTCCTCCCGTCTCCATTCTCCGAGACCGCAGCTCATGGACTCGGATCCAACCTTGAACCCTAAACGACCTTGTCCCAAGTTCCCAAGCTAGAGCGCCGTCGAGCTCGGCTTGGCATCTCACTGCGCTGTGTTTGTCTGAGTCGTAACAACCCCTCGGGCCTTGAGTTCCGGCACGGGCGCCAACGAAAGAAATATGCTCAGCGACTTGGCCGCACGCTTCGTCGGCTGCGGTAGCACAGCTCTCTCGAACCTGCTCTCCATGACCTCGAAATCGTCTTCGTCTCCGTCGTCTTCGGAACCATCTCTCGTCCCGCCGCCGCTGCCGCCTAGCACCGTATCTTCCACGACATCGGGTTTTGGCGGCAGCTCGTACATGAGATTGTACTGATACCACTTGCCGCCGCTCTCTTCCCCCTCCTTTCCGTCCATGCCCTTCTTCTCCGCCGCAACGATGCGCTTCACAGTCTCCACAATCGAAATCATCTTGGCGACCTCGCCCGGCCGCGCGTAGACGAGCACGACGCGTCTCCTCGGATCGCCGTCGTCTTTGCGCAGGTGCTGCAGCAGCCAGGTCACGCGCTTCTGGATCTTGGTGGAGGAGATGGTGAAGGCGGGGAGGACGTCGTATTTCGATCTGAGGTCCGCGAGGAGGGCTTCGTGCGAGGGGGATAGAGGGGTCGTCGGGCCATTGACGTTTGCGCTCGGGCCCGCGCTGGCGCTTGTGTTTGTCGTCGTTGTCTTCGTCGTTGTCTCTGTTGCTTTGCTCTTCTTTGAGACGACTGCGGCGGACGAGTCGGCTGCTGCCGTTGAGGATTTTCGCTTCTTGTCGTCGCCCTTGGGCTGTGTTGCGGAGGGTTCAGCCATGGTCAGCTTTGATGAGACCTCGAACCATAGCAGACGCGGCTGCTCAATGACTCGAGGGTGTGATGCGCCACGCGGGGCTTTGAGTCTGGGGTTGAGATTGAAGCTCCAAGACACACGTTAGGATTTCTACCAGCAAAAAAGTATGATCTGGATCTCTTTCTTATCGATAGAGATCTTATCGGCTTGCATCAGACGCTTGGACCAGCTTTCGGAGCCGAGAGGGCGAAGAGCCGCGATGTCCAGGCTTGGACCAAGAGCTTCTGATTGGATGGCGTCTTTGATGTTCAAGCATTCGTCAAGTGCTTGCTCTAAGGCAATGTAACGCATGATGATCACCATATCGTATCTTTGTTGAAACCACTATGTGATGTGCCAGACTCATCATGAGCTTTTGAAAGTATCACGACGATATCCTGAGCCTCGGGAGCAAGGCAAAGTGCTCTCAAGATAGGATGCCGTAATAAAGTGACTAAGCGTTCAACATCGAGAACGTCTAAAGCAGCGATGTTTCCTAGCGATGGTCGGACACGAGCTCTCGCTCAATGCCGGTCCTGGCCTAGCGTTCCGCGGAAGATGGAAGGGTCCACTGGACAGGGCGCCCATGCGCCGATGTGGCTTCTCGACTTCACATGTTTGACATGGCCTGTGCAACTCATCCGCCTCTTCTCCAAGGACGCCATTCTTTTGATTCGATGAATGAAAGTGCGCCGTGTTGCGCCCTGTTCTGGTTGCAGCATCTCGTAGGCTTGAACAAAGCGAATATCAAAATGACCACAATATGTCCACCAGAGCTATCTTCAGTCAGATGCTGGCGGACTGCCAAAAGCTTGCTTGGCATCTCGGATGGAAGGTCGAGCCAGAAAGGTCCGTAGGTTTACTGAATCATGAGCTTTGAGACATTTCGTCATCTAGCAGCTCCCAAAGTGGTCTGCGATAGTTCTCCCCAAGATTTTCCAAGCTTCCGAGGTGCAGCGTGGCAGCGTTCAGGCCGAGCTGCACGACCTGCAGCGGTATTAATCCATTTTCGCCAGGGAGCACACTTTGGAATCCTAGGATAAGGCCTGGAGAAACGTCGTAGATGCCGTGAAAGGGTAGGGAAGCCCGGGGTTAAAGAGGAACTTATGCGGTTCTGACCTTGGCCGCTGAGTCGGGGCGACTCGGCATCGTTACCGTTGGGTATCGTCGCAAGACAGTGCTGCTTCATTGGCTTATTCCAGCTCCTCAGTCGCAATATTGCTAGTGAAATTCTGGAGATCCTGGCCTGACTGGTACCTCGCTAGCGATGCTCAGGTATCTGAAACCAGAACGGGCTAAAGGCGAGCTGGGCAGCGCCGGGTGGCGTGGCGTATTTTCAGCGGCGATCCCATGTCTATCTGCATGTCGCACCCACCCATCCCTCCTCTACACTATCATCGTGTGAAGATGGCCATCGTCAAGGCCACAGAGTAGGGCTCTAGAAGACGCATGGATGCGAGGCTTGAGAGGGCGACGAGCAATCAAGGTGCTTCGATGGTGCATGAAGCTTACGATGATGAGGCGATAGAAAAAAGACAGCAAGGTAAGCGGAAAACAAGAAGATGCGATACACGGGCGCCGCAAGGCGTTACCTTGTTTCTCAGGGTCCATTTCCTCATGTCATCCCACGTTGTGCTGCTGCGGTCTCGCCCGCGGCCTCCCATAGCTTGGGGGCGCTTGATGGAAGTCTAGTCCGCATCCACGATGCCATTTGGAAAGGGGCGTAATGGAGTCGTCGTCGTCGCCGCCGTGAACGCTAGGCGCAGCTTCTTAGTAGACCAGCCGGAATGGCGAAGCTACGATCCAGACGAATGAGATCCAAGACTGCCGCTAGGTACGTGGAGAAGAGAGCGCGGCGGCGTGCTCGACAACGACGATGGTGAACTAATGAGATACGTCGTTGAATATTTGCATTCGTCAAGGAGTGAGGGGCTGATGTTGACTCATTTGAACAGATACAGGTGATGCTATACCTCGAATTCCTCGTCCCATCCGTCAATAAACATTTCATTAAATTGACAGCCAGTAAGCACAATCTGGCAGCTTCCGAGATCTTGTCCAACCCCGCGCCGTTTGAGGAACTTGTCGGCCAGAGAAAGGTATGTTGGTATGGGGAGAGGCATCCAACATACAGCGGCTGGCGCAATGGGAGAGAAAAACAAGAGGCCCAAACCCGAAGGTTTGTGAAGTGGGAACATTCCCACGCCTCCAGGTACTTTTAGCTCGCGCAGCGGCCGTCTCACGCCCCAAGGTACATGGCTGAGGCGTTTCTCGCACGGAACCAAAACAAGTCGGGACACACGCCATGAGCTTTCCCCGTCTTCTTCTCCTCACTAAGGAACCTTGGCCCATGTACCTATCCGTAGTGCCGTGCCTGGGTGCTACTTAATCAATCTGCAGGCGGGGCTGGATAAGACACATGTCGAAACCTTTACAAACAAAACACGATAATCAGTTGGATCGGCAACTTGCAAGAGAGACGTGCAACTTGGATCCTGGGCGTGATAGATAGCAACTGGGCCAGTGGTGATAGACAGGCCTGAGACTGCGCTTCTCATACGAAGTTGCATCGGCATTGCCTTCACCCTCTTTATCTCCCCATATGCTCTACTCCGTACCGTCTGTCAGATTCTTGATTATCGCGAAAAAGGGGGATCCCTTTAATGAACCTCCACAATAGCTGTGCCCTTACCTAGATTACCCGGTACAGTTGAGTTGCAGTGTTGTTGGACGCGCCCACCATGATCAATCCCGTTCTATTTTCGGGGCGGCGAAACACGTATTGCAGCGGCGCCAGAAAGAACCCGGCTACTGCCTACGAGTTGTAAGAGACAGAAGCTCGGAAGGGCCCCCCGTGCGTCTCATCGTCCCATCAAATTCCCATCAGCCATACAGAAGACGGGGAGTTGGCACCCAGTTTACCAGGCTGAATTTTTCTGGATTCTGGAAGGAAGGTAGAAGACGAGGCCAAACACAGACACAGACGAAGACGGGACTTATGAGGAACTGACGTCCCATCTCTCAACTCTCAGGGACTCGGGGACAGCATTATCCTCTGAGCGCATCGTTCTCTGACCAGTCTGTCCTCGTTTTCTTTGACAGCTTTGGAGTTCAGTGCGCATGCCGCTGCCGCTGTCGCTGCTCCTGCCGCTGTCTTGATGGTCGCCCGTTTTTATTATCGTCTGCGTCAGGACTTGCATCTGGCACACACACTCTCAGGAGTCAGGCTGACAGAGAGACGTGAGAGAATACCGCTTTGTTGGAGAGTAGAAGTGTAGGACTGACTCTTACTGCATCCCTTTCTGACGGCCGAACCGTCCGGGTGTCGTTTAGGTTGTGTCGAAAGATTGGGACTTGCTCTCCTGAGTCCCACCACAAAACAAGAGGAAGTAAGTACATAGCACGAGGTACTCCGTATAGAAAGTACCAAGTCTTGGGTAAGGAAGGAACCTGGGAAAGGGCACCTCCGTTCCTTCCCTGCTCAGTGTCCCCGTCGTATTGCACATTATCCCTGCATCTGCACACCTCCTTCCTTGAGTTTCCCTTCGCCTTCCATTCTCTTTTCTTTTTTTTTTTGGTCCCTCCCTGGCAGCCGGTCGTCTGGATGTACCTCCCGTCTCCAATTGCCCCCACATCTGGGTCAGACCAGCCAGTCACCAAACTCACCAAGCAAGCGCATTCCCTCGTTCCCTCCTTCTTTCTTCCAAATAAACCAATCAGAATCGCGTTTCGGAGCACAATCCCCATCCACACCACCCACACACCTCGTACCTCTCACACCCGTCTCTCTTTCTGTCCACACACCCCCGTTTTATGCCTCCCCTTGCATTCAATACACAAATTGCCTTTTCCTAGTCAGTCGGGTCCCTCGCATCATCGCCAAGTTCCAACACCAACAAAGCACAAGCGCAAAGCGCCAAAACATCCACCTCAGCTTTCTGTGCATCCACCTCGCCCCGTCCACCTTTCTCTTGTTGTTGCTATTGTCTGCTAAGGAGAGATACTGGCATACTGCTACATGCTTGCTTGCGCCGCCGCCTACGGATACCTTTACCGCACCGCCGCTGCGCCATCGACAATCAGCGAACGAGAAACAGAACCACCCGCAGAGGAACACTTCCAATTCGCTCAACTCACGGCCCATCTCCTTTTTACACTATCTACCGGCACCATTTCGCTGGCTGGCTGCTTTTGCTACCTTACTCACCGAACGGATACCTTACTCTCTGTGCGTGTCTCTCTCTCTGGCCCCCAGGATCCAAGGCCCACCCGCACTCGCAATCACCACCCCAGAGGCCAATTTCCCACCAAGCTCACGCACGTCGCCCGCCTGAGAGGTCTGAAGCTGCCTCCTTCCCCGACCTTTGACAGTTATTCTCGCTCTTTCCGCTGTCATCCCCATCTACAACATTTCAACCTCCTCACAAACATCCTCTTCTCCCCCCAAAACCGCTCCAAAACCACTCGTCCACACGACATAGAGAACCATCGTAGGCGTCGCTTCTTTTATTTTGCTCGCCCAACTCTCTTCGCGCATTCATTTTCGCACCATTTTCTTGCGCGATATCGAGGCTTTCGTTAGTTCTCGATTCTTCTGCGTCGCTGTCTTCGCTGCGCGACCGTCGCAATCCCATCCCTTTGTCGCCGACTCGTCTGCTTCGGTCTCCGGCTCTCTCTTGCCTCTGGCCTTCCTGACCGGACGCCCGACCACATCATCACGCACCACTCGCCCCCCCCTGCCACCCCTTTTCGGGCCCCATCATCCAAGGCCAACCAACGCACCACACACCCGTCGCCTCGTCTTCACCCACGCCCAGAGCAGCCACACGCTTACACCCGACTCGTCCGTCTGGGGAATCCACTGTTTACGTCAGCCCTCGTCGCCAGCTCGCAAGCTCATTGCTCGCACCTCAGCTTTTTGGCTCCTCTGCCTGCATCAGCACCACGTCGCACGCTGCAGGTGCCTGGTCCGTCCGCCACTGCCACATTGCACCTTCGTCAGGCTGTTGCCTCGCGCCTCATCTCACGTTCGCATAAAGTCGACAGGCCGCCCTCAACGCGACCTTTCATCCCATCACCTTCACTGCTCTCAGAGAACCGCGCTTATGTTCCGATCACTCTGGAGCAGCGAGCGGGGAAGCGAAACAACGATCAGTCACATTCAACCCATGCCATCATTCGCGCAAAAGCATCAGTTCATTCTGCCGCAACCTGCGCAAACGGCATCACTGGCGGGCCCGTCGTGCCCTCAAAAGAGGCGTCTGTCAAGCGTTGACGACTCACCTTCGCCAGATGCACTCATCGCCACTGAGCAGCCCTTGAAGCGGGCCAAGCTGGAGAGCACCAACCTCGCCGTCTCTGACATCCCTTCCAGTGTCGTCTCTGACGTACCAGCATCCGCGTCTTTGCCTGTGCCTGTGCCTGCCGCTGTTCCAGCAGTGACTAACGACATGGAGGACGCGCGCGATGCTATCCAGTACCAATTTGGTCTTGAGATCTTGCTCAAGCACAATGAGCTGAGGCTAATCAACCAAGAACTGGCAAAATGTCAGGTTGCTCTCGAGCAACTCCGTCGCTGCCATCTCATTCCGTATCCTACTGCCTGTCCCACTCCCGCGCAGATGTTGGATATCAGCAACGGAAAGGGTCCTGCTCTGCAAAACCGTCCGGGAGAGCCTGTCCCCCAATGGGCTGCGCCTTTTGGAGTTGTCGATGGACCTTACGCTCGACACTACGCCAAGTGGCTCATCCCCGATCCCAAGTTTGATGGCATGCAACCTGAGTGGTACCCAGTGCTTGAGACTGCCCGTAGCAGAAGCTCAGTTGAGGGACGAACGACAAGGAACAGCATGTCTGATCTCGCCAGCGCAAACAAGAACCGCTCGACTCGGGGTATTGGCAGCCAGAAGCTGCAGTCTCTCTCCAGCGGCTACCCTCAGCCAAAGGAGAAGGCTGGACCTTGTGTTCTCAAGCGCTCCGACGGCCAGACTGTGAAGCTTGTCTGCTTGGATTGCAATCGGGAGAACTTCAGCAGCACTCAGGGCTTCATCAACCACTGCCGCATCGCCCATAGGCGAGACTTCAAGAGCCACGAAGAGGCGGCCGTTCATTGCGGTCACCCCTTCGAGGTTAATGAAGGCGGCAGTCTTGTTGGAGAGGAAAAGGCTCCGCCTCCCCCATCAACCGCCATCGCGTCTGGTCTCGTCCATCCTTTTGCCCAGACCGACATGTCCACCCAACAGGCGTACGTTGCTTTGCGTTCTAGGATCGCAGATTCCCTCAAGTTGTATCGTGATGGCAAGCTGCCTGGCGTTACAAGCATCCCTCAAGGTACTTCAAAGGCAGAGCCTGCGAGGTCCGCTGCGCCAAAGCCTGGAAACTTCGTCGCCTCGGCTGACACCCCCTTCCTTTCGCGACTCATGCAGAGCAGAAACTTCACCGGCAACCTCAGTGACATTGTCAGTGACGCCAAGGAGAAGATGTCGCTGGAAGACCTCACATCGCCGGGTGAGGAATCGGAAGATACCGAGACTGGGCTCGGCAGCCCGAAGAGCAATGCTGGATCAGCTGCTCGTATGCCTGCCATGCGCATGCCTGCGAGAGCACCAACGTCACCCGTCACTCTGACTTCGTCGACAAGACCAACAAGCAGTAAGGGAAGGTCGCCTCCCACAGGCTTTGCTTCGCCTCCCATGAGCAGTCCCGAGAAGGACGACGGACCCACCAGGGTAGTAATACACTCTGGTGATGATGTCGACATGGAGGACGTTGACCTCAGCCCTAGCACAATGGTCAGCAACAACGCACCTTCGCTTGTCAGCGACGACGGCGAGTATGATGACTCCGACGACGGGTCGTCCGAATCAGGTGTCAGTGATCGCATGGATGCCGAGTCGGTATCTGACGTTGCTGAGATCACACTTGATGAGGATCACGATGGACGCCCTCTTGGTCATCACAGGGAGTCCAGCGGAGTCGGTTCCGGCACTGCGATGCGTCTCAAAAAGGATGAGAACAAGCATGTCACTTTCGTTAGCCCTGTCCACGACAGCGCGAAGCGAGCCCGAAAAGTTTAGGGCGTTTTCGGCACTCTCTCGAGTCTGATAAATGCTCTCCTGTTTCTTTGCAACAAGATCTCTTCTCGAGGCAACACCTAACTTGCCGCCAACCCCCCTTTTCACTGCTTTCTTCGGCGACCAAGACCTTTTTTGCGCATACATACTCCTTTTTAGTCGACGAAAGTTTTTTCCCCTCTTAGTATTATCCTCTTTATTCATACGACTCTGCGCAACCAGGGGTCAAATAGGACAGGCAAAAAAAGCAGGCTGCGGTGGCGTGTGTGGCCGGAGATGATAACGTCACTTGTTAGAGATATGAACCGGGCGTCACGGTTGTTGGGAAGCGTCTGCCTTTTGCGTACTGTTTATTTCTTGCTTTATTTGCTTGTAGACTTTATACTGTTACAACTTCACTGCCTTGGACCAAAGTCCTCCTGGAGGTAGGGGACCGAGGCCCGCAACGACACTTGAGAAAGAGGGAGATGGTCTCCCAAAGGAGGGACACAAACGCTTATGAGCCAGCTGTAGGATTCGAGGACACTCGTGTTGTATCATAGCGGTTGGAGAAGAAGGCTTGATGAAAACAATGACGATAACGAGCTCATATTGAGCAACCAATTTTGAACTGTCCCACGCAAATTTCACGTGACTTTTGATGATGTTGATAGTCGTCTTCAAGAGACTACATTCTTGGCGCCGAGATTCACACTTGGCAGGAATTCCTTGAAGGAGGGGGTCCAGTCAGGTTACTTGATAAAGATCATCGGCGAAATGGGTACGCTCCACCGACTTCAAACTTGTCGAAACTCGCGCACATTGCGCCGAGGAAGGGAGGTCATATGTGGCAGACAAGATGGTCCGGAAAATCGCCGTACGGGTCGGGTGGTCTACCGTGACGCCTCTACGGATAGCTGGGTTCGAGGTTCGAGGTTCAATGCTGCGAATCAAGGGCCTTTTCGCCTTACCCGCAATGTTGTTTATCAAGACCAAGTCTGGTTCCGTTTTCTGTATATCTGTGATACCGTCCTCGACTGCTGGCAAAGAGGTATATACCCTACATGCCTATTCGGTCGGGGTCATACTGGTCTGGGCAGTCAGCATTGCCTGGGAATCTCGGATGGACTGACGAGTATGAGACACTCGAGGCATTTAAGCAGGTACGTTCCTTGCTTTGAAGGCAATAACAACAGGAAAAATAATAACAACTGAAAAGCATGCGTTGCGGATACATGCGCGCGAGATGCTAGGGAATGCATGTAGGGTAGAGTAGTGTCGTTGGCCCGGCCGCTAAGGCAAGGTAGGTTCAGAAATGTTTCAAACAAACATTAGGATTTGGGGGGAGGGGGGTGGAATTGTCGCTGAGTCAACTACCCGGTTTCTGCGATATTTTGTTTCGTTTCTGGCTTTTGGTGTTGTACGTTGCAACATATGCGTGTTGGCCTGGAGAACTACCTAGGAGTCTCTTGAAGACATTTAAGAAATGGTTCCCGTGGATTTCAGTTTGTCTCTTCTTCATTCTTTTTCTTCGTGTAATGCTGTGTAACGTAGGCTACTGCATAGTCAACAAATCAGAGTCAGATGTGTGAGGTACTTGGTTCGTGTTGAATCCCCCTTCAGGCAGCAGCAGCAGAAGAGTGAAAAGTTGTAAACATGCGTTGCGCGACTTCACGAATATCATCGACGGTATCTTCATAGCACATGCTGTCTCTCTTTCTTGCCTGTTGAACCTGATTCTCTCTCTCTCTCGTCCATGAAAAGTAAACTTCATGAAGGGCTGGATTGGAATTAGGTAATTACAAAGATTAAGCATATACAAATGGTGGTTTGGTTTTTCTTTCGCCGTTCCCCCGTTTCCTTGGCCCCAAAATCTCGCTTGGGTGTGCCACATATGCTCCGTTAAATCAGGTCCTATCCTGTCCTGTACGTCTTTGACAAAAAACATTGCCAGAAATCTCTTGAGCACCGTAAACATAATCGCTTTAAATGACATGATGTTTTGGTATCTTGGTTCCCCCCCTGTGGAGGAGAAGATGATGTGCGTTATCTTGCAAAAGATATTTCGTTCGTTTAGAGGACAGCGGCAACGACGCCGGCAACGGCGAGGAGAACGCCGCCAGTGTTGCGGGCGAGCTGGCCGACACCAATGTTGGCGGAGCTGGAGCTGGAGCTGGCCGAGGCGGTGGCAGAGGCGGAGCTGCCAGAGGCGCTGGTGCCGGTGGCGGCGGCGGTAGCGGAGGCCGAGTTGGAAGCGACGGCGGCGGAGGCGGAGCCGGTGGCCGAGACGACGGACTGGGTCTTGCGCATGGCGGCGGAGCCGTAGAGGGAGGCCTGCTGGCAGTAGATTGTCACCTGGCCCTGGGCGGGCGCGGCGCGGGAGTCCTTGGGGCAGTTGTTGTAGCAGGTGGCGACGGCCTGGTAGGCGGCGCAGAGGCAGTCGTAGTCGGTGGCGTTGCAGTCCTTGACCTAAAGAGAACGTGGTGTTAGTTGTCGGTTGTTGTTGGGGTTGTTTAGAGTATCTGGATGTTTTGTTTACCTTTGCGTTCTCGCTGGTCAAGCAGGCCTCGACGATGGGAGCGGCGTCGCAGTCATCATCGGCGGCGGCAACGACGGCAGCGAGGGCCAGAGCGAGAGGGTAGAAGAACTTCATTGTGAATGTGTGGAAAGGTTCTTTTGACGGTGAAGTCGATTATTACGGGGTTGTATTGGTTATCGAGAACGACGGTTGTATGGTGGTTCCAACGAATGTGAAGAGTCTCAAAGACTTTAGCGAGTGACTGGACGAACCGGGGAGAATTAGGTTTGTCGAAGACGAAATAAGCTGTTTTTGATGAACAGTGGGTTGACGGAGGCTTATTACGGAAGGGGAGGAGGAGGGAAAGGAAAAGAGAAGAGAGAGCGAAGGGCTGGCAGATGGAGTATATTAAGCAAATTAGGGAACGGCAGCAATTTCATCACAAAACGTTGTATCCGGACTTTTATGATCCTCTTGGGGGGAAGCACCCGCTGGCTGGGGGTGGGAAAGTGAACTAGCATCAGGATCGAGGAGAAGCAACTCCACGCACCCCCTCGACTAGGCCGAGGAGGGTAAAAGCAGTGGCGCGCGACGCTAGCGAATTCGAATGTGTGATAGGCCCGTCAGGCATTTTCTCTTCTGCTCCAGGCAGAGGAGCCAACAAAGTGGAGGGACAGTCAGGATGGAAGGGGGGAGCGGGCCCCCATCAAGCCGCATCTCCAGGGGTTTGGTGGTTCGGGGATTCTTGCTTGACTGATGGAGATTGATGAGGCTACTTTGCTAGGGCCCCCGTATTCCTTCTATGTATCCGATATGCGTGTGACAGTGAGGTAGCAGCGGCAGTGGGAAAGTAGAGAGGGTGAGGAGAAAAGGAAACAATATCCGCCCTCTGCAGCAGCGCCAGCAGCAAAAAGGGGAGTGGATATTGGAGACCGACACTGGGAATATGGTGATGGCGTCAAGCCCCGGCCTGCAAAGAGAGAGGCAGAGAGGATCAGGAGGACGAGACTTCTCACCTTGAGAGAAACGTCCCTGTGACCCTGGTGTCCCTGCCAATCCCCGCCTAAATCTTCCCACTTTCGGCTGTAGAAACTACCCAACTCCAATCCCCGTCCAATTGCTAGCATCAAGCAAGGACGAAAGGGAAGGGGGCAACCGTTTGTAAGAATATGGTGTGGAAAATGCTGTGCAGCGCACGCGCGCCTTGTGTTTCTCCAACCTTCTAGCTCGAGGCCGTGGGCGTTTCTGGAGGATGGGGTTTCCTTTGACAATTTGGAGGAATGCTTCGAAATTGTTGGTGAAGAAACGACCGGGCCATCAGGGCTGAAGAGGCTGGAACTATCCGTACGCGGCTGGCCGTCCCCTCCGCTGATACCCCCTTTCTTTCTCTTTGGGCAGTATTCGTAGAGACCAGTCTCACTTGAGGGCTTGGTTTCTAGTTGCCGTGCCGTGCTCCCTCTGTGGCGGACCAGGATGCAGAACATATTGCCTTCCCGTGTCTGGTTCGGGAGCTTTGCTACATTCCAATATATTGTACAGCGGTGCCGAGAAAGAAGGTGGTACGATCGGTTGAAGGAAAAACGGGAGCAAGTCAAACGGAGCGAGGTTTGAAAGACGGCGGCGCGAACATGGGGCCCGGACGTCGAGATGAAGTCTAATCTTGTTCGTGTACAAGGGGGGCTGTCGATTTGAAGGGCTGTTGATTGGACAATGTTGCCTCTTTCTGGGGCCGTTGTTTTTCTTACCCCCTTGGCCCGTTCTGCCGCAAGGAAGCAAGGGTAGGGCGTGCGAACCTCAAAGGATGCGTTGCACCACAAACGCAAGTGCCGTTTCCTGGTGGTATCCGTATGCGTAGTTGCGTGTTGGGAAAAAGTCATGATCCGTATCCGCTGATCTCATGTGGCAATGAACCCCATTCGACTATCCAAGACAGAGAGAAAAGCCACGGGGAGTGCGGCTGACTGCAGCCAGTCTTGAGGCATCTGAACTAAACACGAACGGCGCAGCTGTCGTCTGTTGTTTTTCCTGCAAAGGCTTTGACCTCTTTTTGCTGCATATGTAGCGGTTTGCCTGTTGATCGGTGTTTTGGCTCGCCAGTCAAGATTTTGATATGCTTATTTCCCGTAACCAAGGCACAACAAGCGTGGTTCTTTGACTGGCCGCTGCTTTGTTTTTTGGCTCGAGTTTTATTGGGTCCCGTCCCTTGTTGCCGCGTCCGTGTTGTGCTTTTGTGTTGCATTTCTCGTCGCTGGTCCAAACGCCGTAATTGTCTTTTGCGCGTTAGGATACATGACTGTAAGCAGCTTATCAATCTATGCCATTTCATGCTTCAATATATTGATGTTCTTTTATCGAGGCTGAATGGGGCGAGTGTAGCCACTTTTCTTGCGATCTCGCCCTTTCCGATGTTCGTATCCAACGTCTTTTGCCCACTGGCGCTGTATTGGCGCGATTGCCTGATGCTATTCTCGTTCTTGTGTTCGGGGTATCCGCTGATGCACCTCGAACACGGAGCGTGGCGGGACGTTGAGGAGGCGAATCTTGTAAAGTTGTCTCACACAGCCCAATGGCTGCCTCCTCGTTGGCGGCTGCACAGTATCTGCAGTAAGAGGAGCAATACGAGCTGCAGTAGTAGCCGGGGCGGCTGGCGTTGCATCGCGGAGGTTCTCTGCCGGCCAACGTACCACATCCTCCCCCACCGCGTCTGCCCCCGAAAGTCCGGCCGTCACCATCATGCCCGCAGCCCAACGGTCCGACCTCGATCCATAGATCGAAACGTTGATCTGAAGCCCAAGCCGATCAGAGTTGTCGACTAGTCCGCTGTTGGTCAAGCAACAACTGACGGCAGCTACCCCGGACCCGTCAAACAAGCTCTTTTCTACCTCTAGCAAAAGCCATCGGTGGCTTCGTCGCCCAGTGATTGCGCATGCTTCGGATCGAGGCGTTTGAAGTATATAGATCAGCAGTATGTTTTGCATGCTCCCCCATCACTTTTGGGTTGCAGTAGCGTCATCTTGACAAAGGAATATCTTACTCGGTCAGACAAAGTTGGTCCATTCGGAGAAACAGTAACGCCTTCAGACTAGGGTACTTGCAAAACGCGCTCCTCATGTGCCAGATCGTTCATTATCATTAGTCTGTTCCCCAAGGGTATCGATCATCACATGAAAGCGCTGCCACCAATGCCGTAATGCCAGAATGCCAGAAACATGCCTTCAAATCATCGCCGTGCCAACTGTCTCTTCATCTCTCCATTCTCCCTCCTTAGAACCGCCAGCTGCTCTTCGAGTCCCTCCATCCTCTCCGCGGCCCCCATGCTCATCTCCTCGACCACTTTGACGAATCTGAAGAGACGGAACACAATGACGAGGGAAGCAATTTCTTCCACGATGCCGTGCGAGAGCACGTCGATAACAAAGCTTGCCACGATGACTATGCCATCCAGCAGATGGAACCACTCTGCAAAATACCTATGACGGCCTGAGTTAGTTACGGCTTCAGTACTACGTGCTCTTGGGGATTCATCTCACCTCCATCCAAATGCAATAACGCACAATACGAGTTCGATCAAGAACAAAGAGCTAAATACGAGGCCCGCGATGGTGAGACCTTCGCGCGTGTTCTTGACCCACGGTTCGTCTTCCCGTTTCATATCGCAGGCGACGAGCTCGACAAAGATGTTGGCCATGAGCGCGGCGACATCCAGTGATACGAGGGCCAGCACGGCATAGTGTTTCTTCCGAGACGCGAGCACATCTTGGAGGCTCGTCCGTGACTGGCTCAGCTGTCGCCTGATCGGCGCCGGCCGTCTGTTCTCGCGGAACCCGGAGAAGGACCACAGCAGAGGCCGGATCGATTCATCGTCGGACGCCATGGGTTTTGATTAAGGAAAAAGGTCCCACCCATTCAGGACACGACAAGAAAGCAAGGGTCTTTGGCCGGCCGTGGTAATACGAAGTATACTGCCCAGCGAGCGCGCACCACGATCGCGATTTCGCAGCCTATCCGGGCGAGCAGATCCTTCCCCTTCGCGCGGTGAAGCGGGATGGAGCGCGGGCGAGGAAAAAGATAACAGAAACACAAAAACAAAATCCGGAGCCAAGGAGGATAACCGGCAACCCGGCGATGCGGTGCTGACGCAGTGCACCTTCAGCGACGTCACACGTGAGCATTCGACAGCAAGCGCACGAGGCGCGGGTGCCGCAATCCTGTACTTGGGGCTGCTGACTAAGACGCTACACCACTTCACTCGGGGTGGGAAACGACCTCCAAGACCGTTTCAATACTGGGCTGGAGTGAGATTGAACACACTCGCCACGGAGCTGAAGGTATGGAAGGAAATCTTTGTGCTTCCGCAATGATTCCGGACTCGGACCCGAGTGGATCACGGACGGACAAGCAATCCGGAGACTGGGGAGGTCCGGCGCCGTGTTGCTCACGATTGAGATCGGCTTGGTAAATTGCGTCAGGACTCGAGGGGTCCCATCCGAAATGTACCCAATGTTCTGCGCTGCTTGAATAGTATGTAAACAATGATTACCCCCGCTATGACAGCACAGGTGGAAATTTCCAATGTAACATGGCCAGGGTTCGACGCGATACCTGCCTAGTCTTTAGACCATTGAATCAATTAAGCAAAAGCTATTGAAGTCAGTGCCAAAAATCGATTGAGGCCTTGCTCAGACAAAGAGTTCACCGGGCAGTAAGGGTAATAAGGTAAAGATGAAGAAAGAGGGAAAGATTCACGGGTTGAATACGTTCCTTTGTTTCGCTGGTCGATCAAGAATCCATCGACAGGTGACACTCGCCAGAATGTCTCGTTTGCCAAAGTCATCCGCCGCATGTCCCAGACTACGACATCAAGATCAGGCTGGAACGGAGCCTTCGGATGGGATCAGCGCGAGGTGTGTCTATGAGTAGAGTACCTCACGGATCAAATTTGTCTCGATGAGAACTGTCACCAAAGGTTATGAAAGGCTGCCCTTCATGTAAGCGGAACTATCAATATCCGTATCTTACTCCAGAGGAAAGAATCTTGGAAGGTATCTACATAGCCAGCGGCGGGCACAGCTAGGTAGCTCCGCAATCCCGCTACCTAGACAAGGTGCTTTCCCGGGTTGACTGGTCTTGACTTTGCTCGCCCGTGGTACCTTCCTACGCCACCTTAGGCACGTTAAAGCAGAAACTAGAAGTTCGCCTTCATCTTTGAGTCTGCAATATCTGCAAAGCATTTTTCAATCATTTGGAGAGACTGAGCGAGCGTTTGTAGCTCCAAGTCCGTTGACGGAAGCTTGAGGTCGGAGCTCTTATCTCTTATCGGAGCGTCCGGCTAAACCGTGGATTTTCCCCCTACCCATTGGCATCAGAATTCCTGGATACCTTCACTACGTCGTTAACCTCCAGCTCCTGTCTTGTCCAGCCCTTGCGCAAGCTGCTACATCAACTCAGCTCAGGATCTGAGCTTGTCAATTGCGGTCGTTACAGCTGTGAGTGTTTCCCGCCCCAACTAAAACTCTTTGTGTGCGCGAACAGCTTTGAGCGAGCGGACCCCTCCCGAGGCTGCGGTCGCCTTAAAAAGGGCGCGTCTGCCTTGTCGCACCATTTCTCCCTTCTCTCTTCTAGCATCGATAGCTAATCGCCAATCTTATCCAGAGCCTTTCATATACTCGACAACGACTGCCCAATTTTATAGCCATGGCGGACGTCAAGCCCGAGGATACCCCTGTGGAGGACCACAACGTCGAGAACAACAGCGTCGGCGAGGAAGATGGCCACGATGAGGTGCGCAAAGAGCCTTGATTCACCACTGGCTTTCGCAGATAAGAGGAGGTAAACTGACAGAAGACCGTAGGAGGAGATCTCTGCGATGAAGAGGCGGGTAGCCGAGATGGAAGAGGAGGCCGCCAAGTTGCGCGAAATGCAAGCCAGCCTCGACCAACAGAGCCGGGAGCTTTCAGAGAACAAGGAGGATATCGACAGCCGCAGTATCTTTGTCGGCAACGTTGACTACTCTGCCTCACCCGAGGAGATTCAAGCTCACTTCCAGAGCTGTGGCTCTATCAACCGCGTCACCATTTTGTTGGACAAGTTCACTGGACAGCCCAAGGGGTACGTTGCGGAAGCCCACCCAAGAAACGCGCCCGAAAAATGGCACAGAGACTAACATGCGCTTCGCACTACAGATATGCCTACGTCGAGTTCACCGAGCCCAGCCTCGTCGCCCAGGCCCTGGTCCTCAACGAGAGCGTTTTCAAGGGCCGCAACCTCAAGGTCGTCCCCAAGCGCACCAATATCCCCGGCATGTCTCGCGGCCGCGGTCGCGGCGGTGGGAGAGGAGGTCGCGGCGGCTTCGGCGGCCGTGGCGGTTTCCCGCCTCGCGGTGGTTACCGTGGAGGCTACCGCGGCCGGGGCAGAGGAGGATACACCCCTTATTAGGCATTAGGCAGGGTGACGCCTCCCGAGGATAACTCGCTCATGTCTAGTAGCCCGGATGAGCGGGCGCGACGCGATTCATTGCTTCGATTGTAACATACAGGATGGTAGGGAAAGGAGAAAGATTCGATATGGCGTTCAGGGATTGGTCAGGCTTTTACATTCAGTCGACGAGTATTTCAATTTCGATGGATGAACCACCGCATCTCAGTACAATTCTGGACAAAGAGTAACACCCGTGGAATGACAATTTGTAGATCGATGCGTGATTTGTTATTACAGGCAGTGGAGGCCGAGTGTGATGAATAGGAGTATGACGCCAACGATGAGACTCATTGCGATCTAGGCCAGCAGATATCACATGCTGAGCTGAACTTCTTGAGAAGGCACACATATCCACCACAGTTAAATCGGAATAGGGTGTTGGGATGCTGTGATGTATCAGTGAGGAGAGAGATGTCTCTGTCTAGGTACACGGACTACGCTGCCGTACAAGTAAAGACGTACGTTCCTGTTCTTCAAATTCTCTAGGTCGATATCGCTCCAAGATCTGGTTCTTGATTCGAAAACTCCTGAACATGTCTTTCCTTCATCAAGTTTGCAGAGCGCGTGGATTTGTCATCGTAGATGTGTGGGAAATCAAGAAACGGAAATCTTCCCAAGACTATCACAGGTGCTGAGGAACGCTCTTTCCCCCCCAGATAGCTCTTCGCATGAACATTCAAGTGAACTACGAAACGTACCTGTCTCTTTGAGTTTATCCTAGCATGTTCTGACCACTTGATATAGCTTCTGCTGGGAAAGGCCCGGAATGAGATGACGCCTTTGCCAACAGTCGTTCTACAATGTTTCTTTAAAACCCAAAGGCTGAGCAACCGGCATTCAATTGAACATGAGCATGTTCAGGATCATGATGTCTAAACCATCCTGTATAGGAGATGGAACCTATACGTCATGAATACCGACTGCCAAGTGACAAGTCATGTGAAAACCATGGAGCCGGGACATGAACGAGATGAGACGGGCGGACAAGCCTAGTGGTGCCGCCCTTCCGCAGGTGACCCACGACGCCGCCCGACCCGGGCGCACAGTTGCCCGCCTCAGGACGGGCTCCTAAGCATCCATCCATCCCTCCCTCCCGTGCGAGCTGACACACGGAAGTGGCTGTCCCCAGTGGGTTTCGAGGGGGCCTCAATCGAACATTGGGAACCAACCTGTCCACAAAGACGCACGCAAGACTGCCCTGGAAGTGGAAGGGCAAGAGGGTGTTCTTCCCGCACAAAAGATTGGTTGTGGGAATCAGCAGAAAGCGAAGCGTCTCTGCGGCACGTGCTTGCTGGACTCTGTCGGTTGCGATGCCGTGAGATCCCTTTCCTACGCTACCTCTCTCTGTGTCCAGTATATTCCCCCATGGTCCCGCGGCAGCGATTGGATTGCAGGGTCCCCCCTCCTCTTGTTTTTGTCCTTTCCCAAAGGAAGGGCATTGGGACAGACGCGGGAGGTGATTGGATGGGGACTTTTGGGCAGACGACTGTGTTTGGGCTGGTCTCTTGTTTATTTATGGTATACCATATGCCGCTTCTTGTTCACTGTGCTTTCGCGCCGAAGCAGAAAGAAGGGATGTGGATGGATGTGACGGTTGGACCGTCGGGAGGGATGAGGGGGGAACGGACTGGACGTACCGGGGCACCAACGACTATGCCCCTCGAGCCTGAGGCAATTTTTGGAAAGCCAGCATTAGGGAAGATGGCGCTGGTGAATTGAGCTATTATGCTCAAGAGGATCTTGAGTGAGTATGTTACTGTATGATGGAGAGACACAGGCAAGAAGCGAGAGACAGAGGTAGAGAGACGGAAGACACAGAGAGGTGAGAAAGAGAGGGTGGCCGTAGCGCATGAGGTTCGGGGAGCCGGGGGTTGGTGGTGGGATGGGACGAGCAACAATGCGCCGTTTCTGCTTTCTCGCGTCCCGGTAGGTACGTGCTTCTCGCGAGAGACTCTCGAGAGACGTTCCTTTCGAAACCAGACTATGAGAAATACGGATTACGAATTCAACCATTCTCCTATCCGCGGGAAACTCGAAGGCGAAGAAAAAAGAGCAGAAACTTCTTGTTGATAATACTGATTTCAAAATCGCCACGAAAGATTATGTAAAGAGTGGCATCTGCTCATACAATCGCTTGGTCAGGTTCTAGACTCTCTGTCTGTCTGTGTCTGGCTGTGTCTACGGCCCGAACTGAGGGGCCTCCCAAGCCTTTCGGGCCCCCCTTCCCTCCTCCCTCCTTCAGACCCAACTGTTAGCACGGCGGCGCGGGTCAGGGTACAGGTAAGGTCGGCAGGGATCCGTACCGAGCGGCAGGTTGTGAGGTCGTTCTCTAGACTCTCGAGTCTCCAGCTTGACGGGACTCGACTGGGTAAAGTACGGGGCAAGGGTGAAAAGACTTGGCCATGCCAGTCCGTCAAGGCACCGCAGCACCGCAGGTACAGGCAAAAGGCAGGCAGGAGGCGCGTGGGATTGGCAGCTTTCTGACCGTCATGGGCATCCGAAACACCATTGGGAACAGTGTTTAGAAGTTTAGGAAAAGGCTGGAGGCCCTGTCACTCGGTTCTGGTTTGTTTTGATTTCTATTTCTTCCCCCCTGCGCTGCCATTCGTTGTCCTTGGCGAGGTACTTGCAAAAGAGTTAAGGTGAGGTACTTGCTTCGCATCCATATTCCAGTCCCGAACTGGAGCTCAAGTTGGATAATGTATATACCTGGTAAGAAGGCTGGATAGAAGAGTGGCCCCTTAGACAATGTATAAGATACGAACATACGGAGAACGCAGTCACTATACCAACTGCACAGTTCTCACGCAGGATATAGAGCTGTTCGCAACTTCCAAATGCCATGGCTAAGCTGCTGTTGTGAGCAAGATAAGTCGAGAGATGGAGCGCTTAACTAAGGTATGCCCATCGTCAATCAGTCTGGGCTGAGACGTCATGTACACTTGTATCTCACATTCACCTGTCGTTTCATTTTGTCAGACAGCCCTCCGGTCAGGATCTGCTGACACATCTTCCCTAGAAAATGCCGTGGCATCACCAAAGCTCATGGGATGTATACGAGTTATTAAAGTGCAATCGACTTCTTTTGAGTAAAATCTTATGAGATGCAGTTGATCTTGGTGAGGTTCATGGGTGAAGAATACTTACACTTCTCTCAAGGTGCTCACCAGGAGTGAGTTGAGGTGGGTCTTGAATTATGGACCCAACCCGACCACCGCCGAGAGGTTTTGCCCGCTTTCCGTGGTACCCCACAGTGACCTCTGGGCCCCGCCAAGTGCTAACAAGTGGGATTCGCCATCCGCACTTCCAGGTTCCTTGGCTCTCCATGTCGAACCGAGCTGGGAATCGCCCAGGACACTCACCTCATCCTATGCTCACCATCACTACCTATCTGACCTTACCAGCCACGCCAGCCTACCTGAAGGTACCTATTGACCTGCCTTACCTACGGATACAGTGGACATCACTGCCCTGCCACTGCTGCTGCGTCGCTGTTACCGCCGTCACCACTCCTGCAGGTGCCGTAATCACCGCTCCCGTCTGCCACCCTGCTGAGGTCATCAAGGGTGAAAGCTGATGGGAGCACAGGCTCATCGCACGCCGCACGCCGCACACTGGAGCACCTCTCAGAGTCAGATAGCGCTGAACCTGACACTTTCTCCTACCCACCGCATACCTCACCTCCCGCATCACGCCTAACAACCTTCTTTCCTCTGCTGCGAACTTCCGACCGGAGACAAAATCCACTCGCACACACGTACTCCGTACCGTTTGACAAGCGCTCAGACGGGGGCGACTGGCTGACTTAACTTACCAAAACATCAAACTCGCTCCGTCCTGTCTCTTCCATCTTCAACCTCCAAACTCCCTCCCATCGAATCCCACCGATCGACCTTCTGTCGCCCTCCGGAGATAGATCGATACAGAGACGGCCAACAAAGTCTACTGCATCGCTGGTTCGATTCGACCTCGCCAGTATCCTTACCGTTCCTCTGTTGCTTTCTTAGCTTCGCTCGGTCTTCCCGCCCGCCGCGTCACCTTATCATCCGCCGCACCCCCGAAGGGAACTCCAAGGCCCCCAAAAACCCAGCCCACTTGGCTCGTCGAAGCGGGGGGCTTTTCTGCACTGCACAGCACTGCACAGCCTCAGCTCTGCCTTTCGCCGTCGTTCTTGTCGTCGTCGTCAACGCCAATCCGCACTACGCTACCTCTCACCAGCAAAAGCATCCTTTTGCTGCATTCCGGTCCATATTGTCGTCGATAATCTATTCCGCCGTATCGCCGCGACCGGTCACTTTCCAAACGTCATCCACGAAACGTCCTCCTAACCCCTCATTTGTTCCAAGAACGAACGACCTTGATCTGAGCACGCCAGATATTTTGGGAGTCGACACCGTTGTCGCTGGCTATCCCGCGACGAAATGAGTTCCTCCCGCAATGATGCCGGGCAGCCCAAGTAAGTAACGCATCTGATCTTTTTCCATCAGTCCGTAGACGCTGCCATCTAGACGTCACCACCAATGAACAAATCACGAGAGCTAACTCTGCTGTCTGTAGCCGCAAGCCCAACCTCCGAGTAACGAGTTCGTCATCCCCAAGCTGATCCTCCGCGCAACGACCATCATTACTAACTTCAACGCAGTCATCGCCGCCGATGGCTTGTACAAGCGAGATGTCTTCCGTACGCCGTCACCCTCTTCCGTTCCGCTGGAACACACCGTTAACATGCAAAACAGGGTTTCCGGATCCCTTCGCCGTCATCACCGTCAACGGAGACCAGACCAAGACTACGAGTGCACAGAAACGAACTTTGAACCCATACTGGAACGAGAGCTTCGACCTGTATGTTGTAGTCCCCAAAATGCTCATCGCGGCGAAATCTCCCTCTGACATCATTTAGCAACGTGAACGAAGACACCATTCTCGCGGTTCAGGTATTTGACCAGAAGAAGTTCAAGAAGAAGGACCAAGGTTTCCTTGGCGTAATCAACGTTAGGATTGGCGATGTGATTGAGCTGGCACCGGACGCTGATGGTAATACTCTTTTGCCGCATTCTTGCTTGCGTTGTCGCCACAGACTTGACTGACAAATGCGGCGCCCCACAGATCAAATGCTCACGCGAGACCTCAAGAAGTCGACCGATAACCTAGTTGTGCACGGCAAGCTGATCGTAAACCTGTCAACAAACCTCACCACACCCGCGCGGGCCGGGCAAGCATCATCAAGCCGTCCCTCACTCGTCCCGCCTGCCCAAGGGTCCAGCCTTTCGACGCTCTCGGCCCCGGCGGCTGACGCTAGACCGGGCTCGGCCATGGGTGTTCCGAATGGCGGCCCAGCTCCTGGTTCTCAAGTAAACCTTCCGCACCGACCTGCGAGCATGACTTCCACCGGTCCCCCTCCGGCCGCCAATGGTGGCCCGCCTCCGGCACGCAACTCTAGCACACTGAGCCCCTTCGAGGATGCGCAAGGGCGCTTGCCGGCCGGCTGGGAACGCCGAGAGGATAACCTTGGCCGCACATATTACGTTGATCACAACACCAGAACTACGAGCTGGAACAGACCGACCGTTGCGGGGGCCGTGGAACAGAGGAACGATCGTGAAGCCGCAACCCAAGTGGAGCGCCAGAGACACCAGAACCGAACCCTCCCCGAGGATCGAACCGGCGCGAGCTCCCCGACTCTGCAAGCTCAGCAAGCAGCCGCTCAAAGCGCAAACAACGCTACGATGATGCACACTGGAGCAACGAGTCCGGGCACTGGTGAGCTGCCGCCTGGTTGGGAACAGAGATGGACTCCAGAGGGTCGCCCGTACTTCGTGGACCACAACACTCGTACAACTACATGGGTTGACCCCCGCCGCCAGCAGTACATCCGTATGTATGGAGGCCAGAATGCCCAGAATGGCACCATCCAGCAACAACCCGTCTCTCAATTGGGACCTCTGCCAAGTGGTTGGGAGATGCGTCTCACGAACACTGCTCGAGTGTATTTCGTGGACCACAACACAAAGACAACAACGTGGGACGACCCCCGTTTGCCGTCATCCCTGGATCAGAACGTACCGCAGTACAAGCGCGACTTCAGAAGGAAGCTCATTTACTTCCGCTCGCAACCTGCGATGCGCATTCTTTCCGGACAGTGCCACATCAAGGTGCGGCGGTCTCATATCTTTGAGGACTCCTTTGCAGAAATCACTCGGCAGTCTGCTACTGATTTGAAGAAGCGTCTCATGATCAAATTCGATGGTGAGGATGGTTTGGATTATGGTGGTCTGTCCAGAGAATTCTTCTTCCTTCTCTCCCACGAGATGTTCAACCCGTTCTACTGCCTGTTCGAGTACTCCGCCCACGACAACTACACCCTTCAAATCAACCCTCACTCCGGTATCAACCCCGAGCATCTGAACTACTTCAAGTTCATTGGTCGTGTTGTTGGCCTGGCGATTTTCCACCGTCGTTTCCTCGATGCCTTCTTCATCGGTGCCCTGTACAAGATGATCCTGGGTAAGTCGGTTGTTCTAGCCGACATGGAAGGTGTGGATGCCGACTTCCACCGCTCTCTGCAGTGGATGCTTGACAACGACATTTCTGGAGGAATTCTGGAACAGACATTCTCCACTGAGGACGAGCGCTTCGGCGTTATGACCGTGGAGGACCTCATTCCCGGTGGTCGCGACATCGACGTCACGAACGAGAACAAGAAGGAGTATGTTGATCTCATGGTGAAGTGGAGAATCGAGAAGCGTATTGCGGAGCAATTCCAAGCCTTCAAGGATGGCTTCCACGAGCTTATCCCTCAGGACCTAGTCAACGTTTTCGATGAACGTGAACTGGAGTTGCTCATTGGTGGTATCGCTGAGATCGATGTGGATGATTGGAAGAAGCACACCGATTACCGCGGATACACAGAGTCGGACGAGGTTATTCAGTTCTTCTGGCAGACGATTCGTTCATGGGATGGAGAGCAGAAGTCGCGTCTACTTCAATTCGCGACGGGTACATCGCGTATCCCGGTCAACGGCTTCAAGGATTTGCAAGGAAGTGACGGTCCCAGAAGATTCACGATCGAAAAGGCTGGAGAGATTAACAATCTTCCCAAGGCACACACATGGTAAGATGCTATCACCCGCAGCGTGCCGAAGTTCAGCCGCTAACCTTGTTCTAGTTTCAACCGTCTGGACCTACCGCCATACAAGAGTCTGGAAATGCTTCAGCAGAAGCTTACAATTGCCGTTGAAGAGACTATGGGCTTCGGTCAAGAATAGATGCCTCATACGTCCGATGGGGCCATGTCTTTGCGTATGCGTCTAAGCATGCGCAAAAAGGATGATGGAAGCACGAGCCTTCGCCACGTAGTGGCTGGATCTTCACCGCTGTATGTGAGGAGAGCATGCGCGAAGCACATTGCATCCGGTACACGTTGGGGTGGGCTCGATTCGAAGCTACTGCTAGTATGATTTCACAGCATCAAATTCATTCGGATGTTCGGCGTGCGGTAGGGATACTTGGAATAAACCTCTGATTCTTCTTCTTTCTATATGTGGAGGGGTAGTGGAAAGTGATGACGAGACGAAGCGACTGGAGTCGAAATGTGGCAAAGTACGAGCAGAATTGTCGAAAGGGAAACTGTTGTACCAAAAAGCTCCTTGGGTGTGGCAAATTTGCATCGATACCGTTAGATGTCTGCGAAGTGAGTCCGCAGCAAGGAGGGACTTAATTTACCGCCTCAGGGAGGAGAGAGAGAGAGAGAGAGAGAGAGAGAGAGAGAGATGCTTAAACGACCAGGGCTTCCGAGGGCAAGAGACAGGAAAGCTAAGCAAAGGGATGACGGGCGCATTTGATTATTCTCGGGCATCACAACTCCAGTGCGATATCCGCATCAGATATATAGTTTATATACATACATACCTCATCCGAGAGTGCCACTACGCGTGTTTGTGTCTCTATTTCTCTACCAAGCTCTGGACTGATCAAGAGTGTTTACGTCGGCTTCGGTATATGGAAGAGCAGACCATGGGCAACCTTCACGAGAGAGCAAAAGTGTTGGTGACGGCTAACGTCGCAGAGCCATTAGACTCGGTAACGCGGCAGCTGTCGATGAGCCGACTTCGCGTCCTATTCTCATCTGAACCTGAAGGCCTCCCTCTGGCACTGATACACATCAAGGGGGGACCATCTCACAACACGGGGCTGCGAAATAAGTTAAACATGGTTTTTGAAATGATGGCAGAACTTGTAATCTACACGACCGCGATCGTTTGCGGATGAAAACCTCCGCATATGTACATAGCCACGCCCACGCACGCAACCGCATACAAAAGAAAAAATGGTGCCCAAGCCTTGCCGTTATGAAAGGGCCCCAACGTGCCTGGTGTACCTCAATCTCTTCTCTCGGGCCTGGGCATTTTCCTCCTCTACTGGACCGCCAATTGCCTCTCTTTTACTTGATGTGCGGTCCCCCGAACAAATACCGCCCACCTTTGGCCACGCCGTCTCGATATTCTCCCTGACTCGTTTTCAATCCGTTCTCCGTTCTCTCGTTTTTCCCAACGTTCCAAAACACAGAGAAGTTTTGCAACAAAACAACGAATCTACTTGCGGTACCACATGCGGGTGATCTTGGTGTTGCGCATCTTGCGCTGGAGCTGGAAGATGCCGTACATGAGGGCCTCGGAGGTCGGGGGGCAGCCGGGGACGTAGACGTCGACGGGGACGACGCGGTCGCAGCCGCGGACGACGGAGTACGAGTAGTGGTAGTAGCCACCGCCGTTGGCGCAGGAGCCCATGGAGATGACCCAGCGGGGCTCGGGCATCTGGTCATAGACCTGGCGCAGGGCGGGGGCCATCTTGTTGGTGAGGGTGCCGGCGACGATCATCACGTCGGACTGGCGGGGGGAGGCACGGAAAATGATTCCGAGACGATCCTGATCGTAGCGGGGGGTGGAGAGGTGCATCATCTCGACGGCGCAGCAGGCGAGACCGAAGGTCATGGGCCAGAGGGAGGACTGACGGGCCCAGTTCGTTATTACGTCGAGGGAGGTGCTGTGAGACGGATTGCTTGATTAGTATCTGTTGCCATTGGAAGAAGAGCTCGTTTTGATCGATATCGGTGTGGTGTTATGATGAGGGGACAAAGCGGATAGAGGGGGCCGTACAGAGCATATTGCAAAACACCCTTGGTGCCCTCCTGGCTAACCAGGGGCACTTCCTTGCGCTCCTTCTTGATGAGGCCGGTCGAGTGCGCAGCGGCGGTGCTGGCGTCCTTTCGTGACGAGGAGGAGATCGAGGCGGCGGCGATTCTGAAGGGGGTGATGGACGCGGTGGGCTTCGCTACAGTGGCCAATTGAGGTCAGTCAGATGTTTCGGCTTTCCCTTTCCTCCACATCGCGAACAGAGCGCCAATTGAAACCGCGAGACACATCTATTGTCTCCTTGGTGACTGATGACGGGATATCGTGGGATATCGTCCGGGTAGCCGCGCAATTGGATAGCCCGCGAAGGGAGATTGGTGGTGTGGTGGTTGCGGTCCCGGTTCCTCGGTAGACCGGAGACGACGACGACCCGGGGGAGAGAGCTTACCTCGCAGGGCCAATGAGGCCGCTGTCCTCGTGGAGGAAAGCATCTTGGTGATCCGGGTTGGTTCGATTTCTCTTTGGGAGAAATTGAGTCGATGAGGAGTGGAGAGGGTTTATCGCGGGGAGGGGCGGCCGGCGGAGGACGACTTTCAAAGGCAGACGGTCGGGGGGGCTCTCTTTTCGGGAAAGATGGTTGACGTTGTCGACGAGCGTTGATGGTTTTCGCCTCTTTTCTCGCTAATTGCATTAGCGGCGTTTTGATTGGCTGACCGGCTGCCGGTATGGTCCGGGTGTTTGGACGTTCCTTAGGTAAGCGCGTGGGGGAGCTCACATATGCCCGTCATCAAAGCGGGATATCACCATGAGTATAGTCGTCTAGTGTACAAGGTAGTTTTTGACTGCCGGAAGCAGTTTCTTAGGAGCGTTTGCCACATGAATATCCAATCTAAGAATTCTTAGGTCGTTTTGCTGTGGTGCAGTCGCGCAGAAATCCATGCTCCCTCTGAACGGTACTATGTTGGTAGTCAGCAGGTGAAGACTGCCGTCCATGTAACCTCCTCTTGCGTGGATGCACTATTGGCACCTTTGAGTGGCGGACGGTAGCTGTAGCCTAGAGCATGTGGTCGCATTCTCAATCGTATGAAATGTTTTTTCCCTTTCCCATTCCTTCTCGTTGGGCAGAGGGCGCAACACATGGGAAAGGACCAAGACAGGAGTCGGCTCTGAGCACTGGAGTCGGGACCAAATAGATACAAAGTGCCCAGACCTCTATGGTTCCGTACGTCGTGTTCCCTTCGAGGGCCCAAAGACAAGCATCACATGCCATGCCTCAAGAGCTGTCCTTGTTCAAGGTCCATTTCGCCATTCACGTTGCGGGTCAGACGCTATCAGCCAAACAAGGAGTAAAGCGCAGGCAAAGTGTAATCGGGTAGAACTTCAAAAGCAGTATATTTCCTCAGGTCATCTCTCATGACTTCCACAAGGGCAAAACGCCCAGAGCAATCTCAGCGCCCTCCCTCCCAGAGCCAAGGTGTAAGAATCTGTCGACATGCATACCGCCAAGAGGGAAACCCTGTCGCCCACCCGCCAATGTCCATAACCGCTACAACTGAATCACACTATAATTGTAGGAAAAAGGCAACAAGAATCCAATCCCACAAGAACAACAACCGAACAAGTCGCACCCTGTCTCCTGAACGAAGGCCACCGCTCTAGCAAGAAATTCCGCTCCAAGGGGCCTGTGTTCTCTGGAAACCAGAAGCGATGTTGGCCATCGTCATGAGCATCTCACTCGCAAATTTGAAAAAGGTATCAGCCAAAAGAGCCACGTATGACGCCGATGAAACGCCCAGAACGCCGCCATTGAGTGATGAGAAAGAAAGAAGCAAAGCACCTAATTTGGCGCAACACGAGGGTTCAAACAGTACGATTGCGAAGCTTCCGTGTATTTTTTCCCCTCGTGCGCCACGGACTGCTGGAAGGAGTTCCATGTGCTCGAGGAGCTCGAGAAAGTGTTATGTTCCGAGCAGATGGCTCCTATTTCTTCAGCACGGCATCGTAGAGGCTTACAAGCCCGGTGATGGCAGCACCAGTCAAGATGCCCTTCCACTCTCCATACAAAGCGCCATTGATGCGGTCGATCGAGTTTTCGTTGATCCAGCCGCCAAAGTTGACCCTTTGGGCGTAAACAACGAACGAGATCAGGGCCTTGACGATGCTGAAGACCAAGGGGTCGACGTTGTACTCGACGGTCGACGACTTGCGGCCGCGAGGCTGGGGATGGCTCGCCGCGCTCAGATTGTAGAAATACCCAAACAAGGAGGGGATAAGGACAGAAGTGAGAGTCCAAAGCGTGACAGGCGACCAGAAGGACGAGGTCACGAATAAGAACGCGTCAGGTACGTATACGGGATAGAAGTTGGTGCCCAGAGCCGGGATCGCGGGGATGGTGAAGGCGTAGCGGAGGGGCAAGACCTCGGCTCTCAGGTTCCACGCCTCGAACGCGGCTACGGTGAACAGTACCGACGTGACGGTTGACAGGGAGGAGCGCACAGCTTGGGTGCCCTCCTGGATGCCGGACTGGTCGTAGAGTTCCGTCGCGCGCTCGCGCAGAGCGACAGTGTGACGGTCGACAGCCTCAGCAACATCAGCGGGTGTCGCGGGCAGAGGAATACGGCTCGCAAGAGAGAGGTTGCGGGCGGGAGTTCGCGTCGCCAGTGCGGTGGAGAAGGCAGGCTCCGGGCTTGAGGATTCGGCTCTTCTGTGACGCGTGTTAGTCGCGATTCAGGGATCTAGATGGCCTCTGAGGCGCATTGCGTAGAGAAGGGGCAGGTATGACTTACTCGGGCTCGGGCTCGGGCTGGAGCTCCTCGATGGCTCTCGTCGCCCTGCGGCGCGTGGACTTGACGAGATCGGTCAAGGGAGCCTCCCTCTTGACGGGTGAGCCGGCAGCCTTGGAGCGACTGGTGTAGTAGCCTGCAAGCTTGGGGTTTTGGGAGAACTGGATCGTGTTCTCGGCGAGGTATTCATCGAGGGTGACTTCCAAGTCGGCCTTTTTCTGGTTCTCGTACCTGAAAGCAGCGCGTTGTTAGCCTTTTTTGCGTGGTCTGAATAGCATCGTGGGCCTCTCTGCGACAGCTTGACGCGCTTCAATCAGCTTTGACGTCAGTCGCAACCGACGCGACAGCAGCGCACCCTTAGCTCGAATGCGACTTGCAGAGCGACAAGAAAGGCGTCACAGCTTCAGAAGGTTGTCACGTCCTTAGAAGAAATGGTAGGAAAATGCTCACCCAGTAAGTCCGGTCAGCTCGGCAATCTCGACGAGGTCGCTCTTCCGCTGCCTCGCCAACCACGAGTTTGCGCCCGACATTGTTTAGTGATTGAAATGGGGTAAAAGTTAATCAAAAGGGGTATCAGATGAATTGCGCAGACTCGGCGACTCTAGGGAGTTGATTGCAATGATGCCTTTGTAGAAGAATTGCAGTGAATGCAGGGCAGATTGTCCTTTAGTAGTGGTAGCGGAAAGTACTTTGAAAGGGTGACGGTTTTGGAGGGGCAGTTGGATGGATGCGGTGGTGATAACGGCAACGATAGCTGGGCTGAAGAGCTAGGTTGTAACTTGTAAGGGTCGTGTCGGGTCCTGGTGAGGTCGGGTGTGATTAACGAGTGGATTATGGGGGGGTTCGACGGGGTAAAATGGTCGAAGCGCTCGTTGTTTACCTTCCTCGGCCCCCTTGTTGTGGTCCTGGGGGAGGTGACGCAACGGGACTTCCATCGCTGTGAGGTGAATGCTACCGTGAGTCGTGACTGCCTGGTCCAGCTGCCACCGCTACAGCAGGCAATGGAGGTGCGCTGATGCTCTCTGATCTAGGGGAAAGGGGGGTGGGGTGTGCCAGTGTGGACATCCAGTGGACATTGCGACTGGTTTAGCGCGCTTTCCGCCCTCTGCCTCCTCTCCCGGGAGCGGCAAAAGCAGTGAAGGTGGGCTCCCGTCGCAGAAGACACGGGGTGACGGAGGTGCTGACTGCTATGAAGGTGAGTGGACGGCTGTGACCAATCAGGCCCACCTGAGCTGTCCGAAAAAGGCAAGGCATGTAAACAAACGGTTTAGTCGCTGGCCTCTGCGCGCGACTGGCTGGTGATCTCCCGCTGATAAAGAAGACGCCAAATAAACGAAGCTCAAGCAAGCACCCTGTTCATCAGTGATGTGAGGATACTCACGAGAACACGTGGCCTTCTTTTCTCTCCCACCCCGCTGTCGTACGTCCAGTATACCGAACGCGAAGTTGTCAACAGCTTTGAAAGCCCCTCGCGGTCAACATGAGCTGCCGGGACAACCACAACGTCTCAGCCAATCAGTCACCTCATCGCCATCTTACACAAGATCAACTCGACGGCCTGCTGATGAGTTGAATTTATCAGATTAATTGCCATTTTAGCCTCAAATTCATGCACATCTAACTCCTACCCATCTCCCCGCCTGGTCCTTTCCCGGGTATTCCCATATATCCATTCTAGAGCAACCACTATACAGCTTTGAAGATACAATCTCACGAGCCAGGCTAGGGGAAGCTAGCTACTGACCCCAATCTAAGCAGAGTCAACAATATCGACAAACCTTTCCTGTCCTCTCGGCACAATCCGAATAGGCACAGTCATCCCCTGTGGCAACTTGAGCGTCAACATCGTCGACGCCTTCTTCACAGTCTCCCGGCACTTATCCTGCGCCTTCTTATACAGCTTTCGCCTCTCCTCCGGACCCATGGCCTCCACCTCGGCATCCGAGGCCCACTCGTCCACCGCCAGCTCAAGACTGTGCCGCTGAAACACGACCGACAGCGCGGCAATAATTTCGACCTGTGCGATACGCCGCCCCAGACACGACCGCGGCCCGTCCGAGAAGGGTACGTAGGATCCCCGCACCGGCCGGAACATCTTCTCGCTCGTGTCCGCACCCCTGTACCCGCCGTAGTCCTCCTCCGCCTCGCCGCCGGTCTTGGTATCGGCCGTCTTCGAGCTGGCTCTGTACCACCGCTCCGGTGCGTAGTCATCCAGGTCGTGATCCGCTCCCGAAATCTTGCTCGGTTTCGACGGCCAGTTACGCGGGTTCCGGTGCGCCGCCACGCCCACGATGGAAATATCTGCCCCCCTTGGCAACACGTACTTCTCTCCGTCCAGCGTAATGATGCCATCGCCTTCCGGGCTGACCTTCTTGGGGATCTCCACCACCGCCGGCGTCATCCGCAGCGTCTCGTTCATGCAGGCGCCCAGCATCGACGCCAGCATCGGGTTGACCGTGCTCTCGTAGTTCCACGTGCTCGGATCGTTATCGCCAAAGATGCCGTCGATGTCCTTCTGAAGCTGCCGCTGCACGGCCGGGTTGCAGGCAATCTCAATCAGACCAAAGTGCATCGCGTTCGCTGTCGTCTCGTGTCCCGCAACCAACATGATGAAGGCGTTGCCCGAGATTTCCGATCTGGACAGCTGAGGGATCTTGGACTCCTTTCCCTTTAGTAGCGTCCCGTTGATAGCTCCATTGGCATCCGCTCCGTCCCCGTATTTTGATCTCACAAGCTGACCCATGAGGTCCATGCCGGCGTCACCGTGGTCGCCGTTCTGCAGATCCTCAATCTTGTCCTGCATCAGCTCGTCGATGTACTGAACATAGTTATCGTGCGAGTCAATGGCCTGTTTTGTGTACTTGAAGGGCAGCAGCTTTAAGATCTTGTGTGGCACCAGTAGTAGAACCAAGATATGCTCCAGCATCTCGGCAATGGCATCGGCAAAGCTCATCGTGTGTCCCGGGGCCGCTTCGAGCGAGCTGTACTTTGTAAGCTTCGGATCTGCTCCCTGGGGCAGCGACTGTCCCGGCCAAAGCAGGCGCATTCCGAATCCCACGTAGCTGATAATGTTGAGAGCGAGCCGCATCGTATCGTGATCCAGCGTCTGGATGGTGTCCTTGCTCTTCTCCCCGGCCGGGCCTAGCCACTTGCGCGTCATGCTCTGCGCCTGCTTGATCGACTCGGCAAAGACGAGGGAGGCGTTCTTCTCGTTGAAGGTTGCGGATGTGACCTTGCGGTGCATACGCCAGACGGCACCCTCGGTGGTCAGGACATTGTCGCCAAACTGCTTTAGAATGGCGTACGTCTCTACTAGCTTTGGGAACTTTTCGCGTTGCTGTGTGATCTGATGGATAGCTTCGGCGCTGTCGGTGAGGACGAGGATCTGAAAGGCCGATACGATCATAAAGGTCTCGCCGATGCGTTCAAAGGGCTTATGGAGTAAATCGTAGGACCAATTCGGTATGAGGAGTCTGTTCGCAAGATGTTGGGATTAGTAGGGGGACCGCAATAGACGGATTAGTCCAGCCAGGTAACTAACTCGAGCCAGTTCTCCCACCATGATTTCGGAAAACACTTGATGATGGGTATCCAGAACTTGTGGGTGAGCTGCCATATTATTGAAAAGGGCGATGCGGCTTTCTCATAGTCAGTTTCTCACACCAAAGAAACATTGTTGACACCTTGAACACGTACGGGTGACGACATATGGCAAGCCAACTTTCTTTGCTTCTGCTATATTGCGTTGCAGGCCGGAGACGTAGGCATATACGCCATAGGCGACCGCAGCTCCAACGAGCACAAAGACTGACGATACCATGTTGGTGCCAAGTGCCCTAGGAATTTGAATTGGCGAAATGTCGCCTAGGAGTCGACGGCAGCACGAGGATATCCCAAGTGAAGCCTGGTGATGACAATAGCTTATCGCCCGTTGGATACAATGAGGTCAATGGGAGGAGGGGTCCGAGACCAGTCGAGGCCCTGGGTCGGTTTGATAATCTTTAGACCTTGTATATCAAATCCAGGGGAGGAGTCCGATGCCTGCACGGCAAGAATGGAAAGCTATAAGACGTAGTGAGTTAAGACAGTCCCTCAACGACAAAAAGAAAAAGAGAAGGACAGAACAAAAAAGAGGAATTGTCACACATCTGCCATGGAAGAAACAAAAGAAGGACCGGAAACGTCGATGGGGTCGGGGGTCCCATCTGGAAAGCCCCAAGGTGCAGGTAGGGGTCGAAGCTCTGGTTTCGGGTCTTGCGTCTCCGAAACTAGCAAATACCCCCCTACCCCATTATGGCCCATCTCGTGGTTGAGTTGGAGTCTTGGAAAGGAGCTTAGCTTTTTTAGCTTAAAAAGAGACCCTTGCAACCTAGCCTTTTGTTCACACGAAGCCATTTGGCAATTAGTGGCATGTGATTCGATGTGGTGAGAATACACATAGAGCTTTGGCGGGAGCTGTTCTATGAGCATCTAGCTACCTTGACCATGCTACGTCGAAACGTGATGATGAGGACATGATAAAGAGCTTGTTCATCTCTCTTGACACCACCCACTGAGGTCCGATATTACTCATCGAGTTTGCTCTCTGAACAATCAAGGAGACGCCATCGCCAATAGGATTTGCTCAGCACAAAAGTCAAATGCGAGGTCTACAGTTTGTTCATATAATATTACTGGTTGTATTCAACTCGCACTCATCCATGTCGTGACACACCACCCACCGGCCCCAGGCCAGGTAGCTGCAGCGAGACACAGGGGCCTGGGCTTGTTGGTTTCCAGCGGGGCGGGTCCAACTCCGCGCGGAAGGAGTCGTCCGTCTCCTTGTTTCCTCCCCCAAGACATGCTGCAGGCCGCTATTGGTGGCGGCATCTCACCGCACCTAACCCCCCCTGGCCGGCAGAGTTGTCTCCTGCAGGAACTGTGACAGCTGCATTCCCATGGGTAGGGGTGCATGCCGACTGGGCAATCTGATATCGTACGTATTAGACAGTCAACAAGTTCACACAACCTTTCAAGTCGCAAAAGATAATTCATGGTATGAATTTCTTGCTCAATGTCCGGAAGTTTTCCGGCCGGCGCTGGTTGTTTGATCAAGAGACATAGCGGTGGGAGGAAAGACTGAGAAGAGGGGCGCCGCCCAAGGGGCCAAGACATGCACTGCGGGTGTCAGGTCGAGGCTTGTCTCGGCAGCGCCCGACGCGGGACCAGGGGTTCTTGACCAACTCACAAGAATTCGAGAAGAAGCAATTCTCAGAGGGGACCCTCATGAGTTTTGTACACTTTTCACGTCAACCACGGTGCCTTACGACCGATCGTTCTCCCCGGCTTATGACTGCCGCAAACGATCCACCTACATAAGAATCGGATTTTCGAGGGAAATCACTCGACGCAAGTAGCTATGTATTTCTATGCAACGGTGCCTGCATTGAAAAGCCGTCTGTCTATCTGGCATCAACGTTAGGTCGTGCTGGCGAATCGAGAGCCACCAAGTACACGAAAAAAGAAAACAAAACACAGCAGCAAACAACTACGCGGATCCTTTGCCTTAAGAACTAAGATGGGCATCAGGACTTTGCCACACTCTATCGATTTTTTCTAGACTCGATGTTCCTCCTTCCTTACTCGGCATATTCTAAGCCCTTGTGCTGTGTCTTGGTCGTGGTGGCAGGCCTGGTCGGTAATGGCACATAGTCAATTCAACCAGACTACGGATACTTACACATCTAAACTGGTTGCTTGTCAAGAATTGCGATACCGACAGAATACTGACTCTGACTCGACTTGTCTATACTCGGCCCCTAAGTATGCCGGGCGCGAGAACCTATTAAACTATAATTGATGATATCCACCTCGCACTTCGGACTTACAATACCCCAATTGTCTGAAAGAGTCAGCCGTCCACGAGATCCGTATACTAAGCTTCAGAACTCCCCTCCTGACGCGTAGATCGTTAATTAAAGGGGATGTCTGTAAGAAAGAACCGGAGCACTCCATTGGACACAGTATATTACGATGCTCTCGAGTCTCAGAGTCATGGTATAGGACATCGGTATAAGCTTTTCCTGCTCAATATCCTCTCTAATTCCCGCGTACATTCGGTCTGGTCATTCGAGAAGGCAGTTATTCGCCGAACATGATCATGTCGAGGACTACTTCGTACAAGACCAGCGGAACGTCGTATAAATGACAGCCAACGGATGTCCGTACTGATGACTGTCGGTCTTTACTCCCACTTCCACATTGCCTAGCTCATCTGCTCGTTCACTCTCTTTTGCCTCCACATACCCGTTTCGTGAGATATCTCATATAGAGTCGTCCTTTCACAAGACCCCCCAAAGGCCAAAGAGCAGCATTCTACCCCAATATATAAACCCCGGAAACCAAAGATGCGTCTTACAACAACAACCATCACCGCCGCCTTGCTCTGCGCAAGCGCAACCCTCGCCCAAGCCTGCTCCCCAGGCTTCTCCTCGAACCGCAACCTCTCCCCCGGAGACTTCGCCTGGCTCTTTGCAGACTACAGCGTCGACGACGTAGCCGGCTGCAGCAGCCGCTGCGCTCGACAGTGCACCGCTCCGGGCAAGAAGTACGACTCCTGCATGGGCTGCGCCAGATGGAAGGGTAACGCCCAAGGCAGAATGGACCTCCCGCCGTGCAGCAAGCCCATTACGACGGACAATGACGACGGCGAGTACGAGTGTCACGGATACGGCGATGGTTTCTGGAACTGTATTACGCCGTGCCCTCCTGGGTATGAGGTATGTGTTTGATCCCTTGAAGCATTTTTGATATGGATTTGTGGCGAATGAATACTGATGGCGATGTCCCGACTAGTCCAAGGATCTGGGTCGTGTTCAATAAATATTGGAGTGTCGAGAAGACTTGTAACATCCTACATCCTTGAAAGCCAAGCCCTGTTGTGTGCTCTGTATAGCGAGCGCTGCGGTTAATCTACAAAGACTCATGTAGAACCATAGATCGCATGATTCCCCTCCCATGAATCCCGACTCTAGAACAAACCTCCCTATGACCAGACCTCAGTGCAATTTGAACTGCCCACTGACTCCTTCAAAACTCGTGATCTTTCCGCCCAGCGATTTGGAATCCCCATAGTAGCGGAAGCGATACGTCCCCGGCTTCGCATCGCTCTCCGTCTCCCATACAATCTCAACCTCGCTCGTGGCGAGTATGTCGCTCGTCCGCTTCCAGTGGAAGATTAGGTTCCAATCGTAATCGGTCCGCACGGTGTCCCATCTCTTGATGGCCCCTTTGTCAATGGTTAATCTCTCTACAGCTGCGTACGTCTGTTCCAGGCGCAAATTGTTGCGCGGATTGGCTCCGACGAATGTGGCTCTCACGACGTCCCCGATGGCGTAGTTGTCCTCAACGTCAGTCTTGACGTCGCCGAAGCTGCGGAAGACGGGTGTGCCGTCTCGCACTACGCCAGTGATGAAGCTTAGGGAGCGGTTAGTGTTGTCTGGAGGAAATGGTCCTCCAGCGTGAGCAGGAGGCCCTTTGGCGAACGAAGCTCCCAGCGTCGGGAGATAATTGAGCGTCCGGTTAATGTACGCATCCAGCGTGTAAGGACCATACAGAGTTGAAGCACCCTCGTATCGTTGTACTCTGTCCAAATTAGTGCCGAGCTCTATAGTGTGCCACGTATGAGAGCTTACCCGTATTCTTGTGGTGTTGTAATGTAATGAGTGTAACTGTTTGCTGGTCCTCCAATCACCACGACCGGTTTCGCATCAGTCTCTTCAGCGAACAAGGACTCGGCCTGGTGTTTGACTGCATCTTTCCATCGTCTTCCCGCCATAGTCGAAGCCTCTCCCGGGCTGACGATGATAATCAGCTGGCCGATTCTGAATGTCTGAATGTCTACAATATTGGGTGTCCATTGGTATGGGTTGAACACTTCGCCAACATCGAGTAGAATGGGTTTGGGAGAATGACAGGCGACTTGGTCTTCTCTTGGTGCCTTCAACAAACCGCCAACAACCTTCCATAGAGGGTTCGTATTAGTCGAGTTCGAGTCGTGCTGGGTGAAGTCGAAAGCCCCAGGACCATCAGACGTTCCAGCTGCGAATGAGTAGCCCAACGCTGCAGGGCAGGTTCTCACTTCCGTTCCGTTGGGAAGCTCGAAGTGGAATTCTGACATATTGTGGAAGGCATGGAAAGACTTTACCCACGAGCCACGAATTCGTTGAGACTTGGATCCCATGTCGTCGAATAGCGCCTTAGCAGCTGTGTACTGCCTCTTGCCGATCTCAAAGCAAGACGAGGCACCTTCATCCTTCTCACGGAACAATGGGCCTCTGGCGTGACACTTTTGGCTTTTCCCGTCACTGCAAGTGCTTGTCTTGAAGTCGCAAGGCTCGCCGGTGTCCTCGCAGAAAGCGCCTAGCACATTTGGACTCACATCGCCCACATTGGCCTGGGAGAATCCAGCGACGAATCCCTTGGTCGCATCAGACGACTTTCGCATACTTTTTTCAAATAGCCATGCCGCCACTCCCTTGTTATCTCCCGAAATGAGAGTGTTATTGCCGAGCATGGATGTGCCGTGGGTGGGAAACCATGTTAAGGCACCGATACTCTTCCCATCCGACGCTCGTTGGAACTTGAGCAATGTCAAGTCTTTCTCAACAGACCCGTCATTCTCAGCGCTGACGTTGTATTTGGCACGTTCTTCTTCCGGATTCGCCATGTATGAGTACAGGCTGCGGTTGATGTTTGCGCCAGTGACCTTTGTTGAGCCAATACTGAGATGCCCCGGCTCTAGGCTCTCATGTGCACGACGGATGGCCAGCAAGGTACCGTCAACGATGGCTCTGTAACTTTGCTGGTCGAAGCCTTTGCTCGTGATTTGCGGCAGGAGATAGTTGAGCCATGCGCCCGGGCCAGAGTGCGAGTGTGTCCCGGTCAGCGCCAAGTTGTGATGTCCATACATGGAGTATTCGAAGCCCAGCTCAGCGAGCCCGTGAAGCACGCCGTAACGAACAGCTGTGTCTCCCGACTGTGTGTCAAGCACGAGGTAGATGAACCTGTCGTTCCGACGTTCGGTGCTTCCTACGATGAAGGCTCGGGCATATAATCTCTGTCGAAGGCCAGTGCCAAGCTGTTTGGGGTCTGCGTAACCCATCATGTTGATTTCCACAACCGGGCCGGTAATGTCGGCTCGGCCAGCACCGACGAGATACAAGTCATTGTCTGCATCGATGTCCGGTTCATTGAATGTCCCGGGAAACCATCTGCCCGCATCGATAAAGCTGCTCCATGGGGCATAAAGTCCGTAAACAACCAGGAATGATAGAAGGAAGCCGACTATGCAGACCAGAGCTCTCCGGGAGCTCGGTGGGGAACTTGTTTGAGACGCCGCCGGCAAAGCGGGTCTCTTTTCGGCGCTCCGTTCTACAGGCATATTGTCTGAGCCTGGAAGAAATGGGGTATCAAAAAGACATGGATGAAGTGAATTGTAGATTACGAAGATGAGAATGAATCACGGGACAAAATAAGGTGTTAGCGTCAAGCCTTCGAGAGCAGTGCGCTGCCAGGCAGTTGCGACACGGAACGTCCGGCCGGACCTCTAGAGGAAAGGGAGGGGCGGACGAATGACGCACGCAGTACGAAATTGTTAGTGCACGACTCACGAACACCGAGTCTTACCCTGATGACCAGCTCCGTTTTGAGATGCATTTCATTCTTAGATAGTGCTCAAAAACATCTGGATTTCAAGTTCGAACTTTCGAAAATTCAATGTCTTCAAACATGGTCACTCATGAAGTCGTGGCTACGAGAGGCACTATGCTACGTTCGTAACAATGATAATTACTAAGCGACGCGCAAGATGTAGCTTCAGAGGTAGAGTCCGGAGTTACAAGCGTAACAAATTAAAATGAACATAAACAATCGGGTACTATAGCTCAAGAGAAAAGAAAGGCGTCGTTGCTTCCGTAGGGTTCGTTCCTCCTCCAAATCCTTATGTTTCAGTTCTGCTAGAGCATCAGACTAACAGCTCAACAAGAGCCGGTGCTGTAGCTGCAGCAAGCAGGACCCTAGTAATACTTGGGGTTCTTGGGGTCGGTCAAATCGAAGATGACCGATGAGTGAGGTCGAGCACCGCCACGGTCGCGGGTGAAGATGCTCTCAAAGTCGATTGACCGGTTGAAGCTAAGGCTTCCGTCGGGGAGAATGTCGAGCCAATGACCCTTGTAATCTCCAGGTGTGTTGACAATAGAAATCTATCACGAGCAACATGTTAGTAAACAACCTTGGTTCAAGAATGTCAAACATGAACGAGAGACGCGTGACTCACATCACCGCCCTGCACGAAGTATCCGGTGACAAGCAAGTTCTTCTTATCCGGGCTGATCTTGACGTAGTGAGGTCCAATGATTGGCTGCGTCTCGTTGGGGTCATCCAGTCTCTTGACGTTGTTCAGGTCGGAGATGTCGAGTGCTGCAACGTGGTTGCCCAGAGTGATGGTGAAGTATGCGAATTTGCCGTCATCGGTAATGTCAGAGTAGATAGCCAACGAGTCCTTGGCTTTGGAGCCCAGGTCGAAGAGCAGCTCAGCAACGCCTTGCTTCCCAGACGAATCGCGGCGGAATGGGTAGATGATCCAGACTTGGCCAGGGCCAACAGCGGTGGCAATAGCAGCGCCTTCGGGGTTGCCCGGGATGAACTTGACATCTTGAATGCCCAAGCCCTGGAAACCATTAGATTTTTGTCGTTCACACGGAAGTTGATAGAGCACTTACAGCAGGGATCGTAATGGTCGAGATGATTGTTCTGTCGGACAAGTTCCACAGGCGAAGGGTGCTTGCTTTCTGGATTCCCAACGTCGGCTTAAGAATTGTGATAGGCACGACGAAGTCCGAAGTCAAGATAATTCCCTTGTTGAAATCCACAGCCAGGCCGTGAGGACTGAACTGCTCGCCGAGAATGTTGAGTGTTCCAGCGACATCCTCCGGCCACTCATGGATAATATCACCCTCTGCGTTGGTCTCGACCAGACGGCCGGGAGACGTTCCAACAGCACTGCCCATGTACGTAATGAAGAAGCCACTAGTCACGGTAGAAGGTCAGTACTTCTAATCTTCCTTGGAAACGTTCGAAAATGACAGGAATCATGGCGAGGACAACGTGATGGCATATAGTGGTGGTGACTTACCCCTCTGGCTTGGCGCGGATTTCGTCGACGATGGAACTCAGCAGAGCTCGGTTAGACTTCTTGAATTTGGGAGCGTAGGGGTTAGAGACATCAAAGTAGAAGGCCGTGTCCTGAGTCTTAAGCAGAGACAGTAAACCGCCTCCAATGAGTGTCTTGCCATCGAGAGAGCTACCCAGGTGGTGAGGAGAGTTGCCGCTTGTGGGCACATCGGTGAGAGCAATAATCTGGCCGAAAGTGTCCTAAAAGCGAGAATGGTTGTGAGCACTGCTCAATCTACAGAGCGTTGAAGCAGAGACAAAAGCACCACTCACATCGTCCAAACTGGCAGTGACCAAGAAGTCCTTATGGATGTTGTCACCAGCTCCAGTCCAGAAGTAGCCAATCTTCTTTGGCTTGATGTTGGCGCCGGTGAAAGGAGGACTCTCGAGAGGAGGCGTTGGGATTTGAAGAATGGGGAGAGGAGGGGCATTGGATGCCAGAGGCTCGGTGACTCCCGGAATAGAAGGAATCAGAGGGGGCAGACTGATCCCCAGAGGGCTTCTCTTGCTGGCAGGAGAGTGGTCATTGCCATTGACTGGCCCTGCTGCCGCGGGAGAGAGCAGGAAGCCCGTGAGAGCTACCAAAGAGATCTTAGAAAGCATCTTGAGATAATTGAGCTGCTGGTAATTGTTTGCTGAAACCCAAGAAGTCTGATTGTTTGAAGATGCTCTCAACACCAGAATACGGGCACTTATTTATTCTTCTTATACTCCATCGTGAGCTGCAATAAGGGCCGTCTGACAGCCAACCGCTTCTCTTCTCTGGACGTGAACTCACTAAAAATCACATCATGAAGCCAATAAACCTCATCATCTACGCTATTGTCGAAGGAGAGGATGTCGTGAACCAGAACGATAATCAAGATGCACCCAACAGACCTTCTCAGAGTCATGCAGCGTTGGAGAGATGCCTGAACATGTCTTTGCCAAGAAGTCGGGACTCACACCTTGCCTATCACAATCCAGAGATCCTTAACCTCTAGCTCATCGTGGCCACGTCTTTTTCCTCAAGGGGGAAGACTTGTAATGTCGTGATCGTTTGGAGCACGGAAACTTGGGCGCCCGGCGAGCTCGACGTGTAGAGCACACTTCTTGACGATGTCTGAAGTTTGTGTCAAGCAGCGCTAGTGTGGCCCGGTGCTTCGGCATTGGAGGGAGAAGTAAGCTTAACGAATGTCAAGAAGTTGATCGACACTGACGGCGACCACGCGTAAAGCCATGTGAGATGAAGAGTTGCAGATCATCTCTCAACTGGACGACGTAGGTGTTTTGTTTGTTGGATTGACAGGGGCGAGATGTACCAAACTCAGACATATATCGATAGTACCGGATGGCATCATATGCAACGAATAACACTTCGAGTTCATTTAAGTATTCGGGACCGATAATTTCATTTCCGCATAAGATCTCAGTGAGGCTGAATGGCAAGGGACGTTGAGGCATGCAACGGGGGCGCCTCTGGCCTTGCCGCTGCGTCGGGCATATCAAACCTTAACTTCTCTAGCTTGGCAGAACGGGTTCCAGAGAAGATGAACCAGAAAGGACGATGGCGATCTTGGACAGTTTGGTAGAGCCACGATCGAATAGCGTGTTCGTGCTTGACTAGTATGCGGTTCGGGTTGAATAGCCATCCTCAAGGCATTTACACACTGCCGGTCTCAACGTTCAGAAGATAGTAGACTGATTGGGATTACTAAGACTCACCATGTCAGAAGAATACCTGACCTGGGATTGCTTGTCAAGGCATTCTCTGCCATGTTATTTCTACATCTTGTTTGAATGGTGAAAAATGACTGGCCTCTTGAGCATGCGGGCAAGGAGAGAAAGGCGTCGAAGACTATAATTTTCTGTCATATTTTTTGCCATGTGAACTGACATGATCTTGACATTTCAGATGATTTAACTCTATTTGAACCCAGATCACGACTTTGCCCCGGCCTTGTAACGCAAAACTTGGGCCGACCTGTGATAAAGAAGATTACCAAAAAGATGCGGGTAACATTCAAGCCAATATCTGCAGTAAGACAAGGTTAAAAGTAAATTACCGTAGTCCACCGCGTCAAAGTAAGCTTCAGTCAGGCTAGTTAGATGCCGTCGATGGGGATCAGCGCCTAAGCAGCCTTTCCCCCACGCTTTCCCACGATGTCGTTATTTTCGGACATATGTCGAATGGCCGGGGTCTAACCTAGCGGCATACCCGATTCAAAGACAACTGCAGTCGATCATTTAGCCAATATCACACCAACACCCATCGAACACACTTGTGCACTCTTGAATTTTAGGGGAAGATGCCGGTGAGACTCGAATTGGGAAAGTCAATAGTGTCGACCGGAAAGCAACGATGCCGCTGAGTGGTCAATGTCGTCATCGCGAACCGTTGCTTCTGCAACTGCAACCTCAACGCCATGATTACTCGATGCGTTGAACGTGATAGTAATGAAAATTCCGCCATCGCGTCGGAAGAAATGAAGTATGTCCTTGCGAAGTTGGAGGCGGTATTCTAAAGGTTAGACGGACTTATAAAATATACTTTACAGATTATCCTCCCTGCGCTGTTTCGTTTCATCTCTCACACTCTGCACCTCCCTCACAAGTCGGTTCTTCATTATCTGATAGAATGAGACTACTTCAGACCTCCGTGGCAGGACTCATTGGCCTCGTGGCCATCACGAGTGCCTCGCCCCAAGTGGCGAAGAGAGACGCCCAATTCAATATTGGACAGCCCATCGATGCCAATGGCAAAGGTGCCCCGATCCTGGGTAAGTGACATGGAGCTCACCTTCTCGATGCCAAACCCAACTAACAAAATGTCACAGGCGGCACCAACAATGCAATTGACAGAGAGAACCCAGACAATCTCGGCCGGCAGTCCACTGACAGCGGCGTGGTGCCGAACCTGAAATGGAGATTCTCTGATTCTAAGACCCGCATCTTCAACGGAGGCTGGGTCCGCGAGCAGGTCATTCAGGACTTGCCTCAAAGTCACGATATTGCAGCCGCCCAGCAGCATATCAAGCGTGGAGCAGTGAGAGAGCTGCATTGGCATAAGGTTGCGGAGTGGGGTTTTGTGTATTCTGGTTCCATCATCATTGGAGCTGTTGGCGAAGACGGACGAAGCCAAGTTGAGCAACTCAACTACGGAGACATTTGGTAAGACTTCAACACTGGGTTAGAAGGCCACCACATGCTAATCTTGGATTAGGTATTTCCCCAAGGGTGCCGCTCATTATGTCCAGGGAGTTGCTGAAGAGTCCGAGTTTCTCTTGGCCTTTGACGAAGCCGACTTTGATAAGATTGGGTTGGTGCTTCCTCTTCTATATGACACTCGTGTATGGAACGAGTCAACTGACATTCAAAAGAACTACTTTCAACATTGTCGACTGGCTGGCCCACACTCCAAGAGACATCTTGGCCAGGAACTTTGGCGTCAATGCTTCCGTCTTTGACAAGCTACCCGCCACGAACCCGTACATCCTGAACGGAACGGTGGCAACCACGAACGTGACGGTTCCCCCGGGGCAGTACCTCTCCGGCAACAGTTCCTTCGTCTACCGCACTTTCGAGCACCCACCCGAGAAGGTTCCCGGCAACGGCGGCGAGTTCAGAAAGATTGACTCGACCAACTTCCCCATTGCCAAGACCATTGCTGCCACGTTTGTCACCCTGAAGCCTGGCGGGCTGAGGGAGCTCCATTGGCACCCCAACGCGGAAGAATGGCTCTACTTTCACAAGGGTAAGGGTAAGGCGACTGTGTTTATCGGAAGTGCAGCGTCGAGAACCTTTGACTTGGAAGCGGGAGACACAGCTGCTTTCCCGGATAACAGCGGGTGAGTATATATCATTCGTCTCGAGGGAGTGGATTGTGTCGTTGCTAATTCATTGTATAGACACTACATCGAGAACACCTCTGACACGGAAGACTTGGTATGGATTGAGCTGTACAAGTCTGACAGAGTCGTGGACATTTCTTTGACCCAGTGGCTCGCTCTCACACCGCCTGAAGTAGTCGCGCAGACTCTTAAAGTACCGCTGGAATTCGTCAAAAGCCTCAAGCAGGAGAAGCAAATCCTCATCTGATCAGCGTGATATCTGCATGAGAGGGGCATTGGCTACGGTTTCGGTGTGATATAGGTCTGCTTCCTCTTACACTCTGTTTGATCTGTTCGCAATCCATGGCTCGATGAGCATAAGACAGATGAGATATGGATTGGGCGAGATGAGATCAATTGAGGAAGGCCATAAAGAGAGAGAGAGATATGCTATACCTGCAAGATATCGTGTGAAGAAGCTATTATTATTGAAAATCTCAATGACGACGAAGCTAGCGGTGAAAACAGTTTTACTTCTTAGGACCTATTACTTAGTTGTGTCGTAATTACTAGTTCCCCTCAAACCATTACCTGACCATGGAAACTCAATTGCTCACAGAGCTACCCAGAGGTGCAGGTGGGTGAGCAACCATCACGAGGTCACGATGGCATTCAGCGACTCATGTCTCGCACTTGAACCTGCAGAGTAACGAAAGCCTGATAAGCGGGGAACAAGACGGAGATGCAAGGGAAATAAGCGCCTCGACGCCAAAAGTCCGAAAGCATCTCCAACTCCATCATTTCCCCAATTGAGAGGTAGACGGGAGACGGGAACGGAAAATTCGGTAGGATGGCAGCACGCGTTATGCAGGCAACCCCCGGCGGGCCAGAGCCGGAAAGTCTATCAGCGAACTAGCACAGCAGCCCTCTGGTCAAGCCATATCAGTGTGCGATTACTTATGTCGTGTGGGCAATGAGGGGTGGGAAAGGTTATGGGCCGTCAACTCAAACCATGCGAGTAGCCTAGAACACTCCAATCACGCGGAATCGTATGATTGGAGATAGATTGTGCGGTGGTGAATGAAGCCATTGGCGAAGGGGAGGAGGGTTGCAAGAAAAACATCATCCCATTGAACGCTCGCGAGCTTTTAGCCGTCCGCCATCACAGCCAACCTTCCTTGGGTCGTTTCGTCGTATCATGAGCTGCCTCGGCGAAAAGCGGCAGAAATGGAACGGCCACTTTCGATTTTGGAGGCATGCCACATGGTGGTGTGAAGGAGGAATAAGAAACGCTGGGACGATCGGCCAAGCCACCCCTCGTTCGGTCTGGTTTAAGCAGGTAGACGGCAGTTGTTCCGAAGCAATCACGACTTGGCCCAGAATTGAGACCACGTTTGGGGGCGGAATGCGGGGAGGCAGGACTAGAGACACTCGACACAGTGGTTTCCAGACAGCATCGACCTTTCCAGATTCCAGATGACGAAGTGTGTGTGTGACTGTTGGACGAGGATGAGCTCTCAAGTCGTTGTCGATTCTCCCTGACCGGTATGGCAGGGATGGCAGCTTTACGTCACTCCGATGCCTTCTCATTGCTATCAGTCCCGGGGGATCATCCCCTCTATTAACTAGGCGTCGCACCTGGGATTACCATTTACCAGTCAAAATGCTGATAAGGCATCGAGATGAAGGCTCTGGAGGTCGCCATGACGGGTAAAAGGTCAGGGAGCTTGGGTCCGGTTCTCTTAATAGCGTCGACCGGATATGCGACCCGCGGGTCGGCCGCAGGTACCATGGACGGCAGATAGGACTGGAAGCCAACGAAAGACGACGGAGCATTGATACAGGTCGATCTGATGACCGTGCTCGCCCATCGAGACCCTGAAGGATCGCCAGGGAACCGATCAGGGCCATCAACTTGTTCTTCTTGGATTTCGTTTGCCTCTGGGGAGACTAAGCGATCTCTGGTCCAAGAATTGAGTCGCATTCTCTGTGTGGCAGTGCTTGAACGCGACCGATACGGCACGAGGGAAAGACGAAGCCTGGAGGTCGTGGAGAAACAGCTCATCCCTTCCGTATGGGGTCGGGGCCGAGAGGTCAAGTGAACAGCTGGAGGGTTTCCGGTAGGACGGCGCGCAGTGTCATCGGCAACGGTTACGCAGCCCGCTGTGGACATATGTTGCTGGTGCCGGGATGCTACATTGGTCGGGAAGTCAGTGACGAACGAGAAATTGGGCTGGTGGTACGGAGAACGGATGCCACACATATCTTGTCGGGCCAGACTTAGAAAGAGTTATGTCAGGGGTCGAGATAGGGAGAAGATCGTGAATAAGTGACAAATTTGAGTCTGCGAAACCCGAGCTCACTCGCGAGTCCCACGAGTGTTCTTGGGGGACAACCAGCAACACGTCAAGCAAGTTGCAAGGTAAACCATGTCTCGTCGCGGAAGCAGCCCCTAGCAGGCACCTCTCTGAGCAAATAGGGACCTCTCCATGTTGCAGTTGTTCCATGAAAGAACGTCGCCGCCCCGTTATTTGTGTGTCATCGCGACCCGGCCAGAGTTGGGCCTAATGGAGCCGGATGGGCTAGCACAACAAGGCATTGCGCTGCAGAACGAGGTTAATTACATGGCATATTGTCTATCAGCGGGGGATAGGAATGGGTAGCCCGGTAATAATACAGACTGTAAACATTCATGCGGCCTCTGTAAATGGGCAGTTTGTCGATGGGATGGGGACTTTTTTTTTCTCCTATCCACAGAATAGAATCTGGATCTTGTCTTCGACCTGGACCCTTCTTTTTCCTATTCTCCATCTGCGCATCTTCCGGTGCACGGAAACCAGATGAAACCGAAGACTTTCCAGCTCGCATGGTCAGATAAGGTATCCGTAGCCTGTAGACAGACAGGTTGAGCGCAGTGGTCACAATCCACCACATCCTCGAACCCAATTGCCCTACCCTGCCTGACCTTTCAATTTTTTTTTTGCATTCACTGGTTCCAACTCCCAGTGCCTCTGACTCATTTTTGTGCTGTTACGAGATACTTAACCTTGGGACCGTATTCACCTTGCGAATTTTGAATTACATGTTAGCAAGGTAGCTTTACAATAGTTGTAGAAGAAGAGTCACACTGCCATCTTGGTATCCTAAGTGCAACCCCGATAGGTAGGTAGAGCAGTAAAGGTATTCCCCAAGGTGCAGAGTACGTACTTCACTCCAGCCGGCTCGCTCTGGCATTGGGCCGGCCTGACTTCACTGTCAAGCTCCCAGGTGCCCCCTCTCCCAAAAAAGAAAGGGGCCCCGCAGAAAACCGCACCCGCCGCCTTACAACCCACCTACCTGCACCTCCAACTCCCGCCCGTCACAAGTCGCACCTGCATCCCACTTCCGTCTGTCTACCTTACCTCCAACCGACCTCCTCCCCGACTCCTTTCTTCCACCGATCTTTTTTTTTCTTTCGTCTTGTTCACATCGCCTACCTCTATCGAGAAGATCAAAATCAACTTTACCAAGCGCGGAATCAACCAACAAGATGAACCCTCTTCAGAAGAACAAGGTCGACGTCTCGGTACGTTCAATCCAGCCACTCGCTACCCAATGCCCCACCTTGAGAACGAAGCCTGCGATGGCATCACGGCTTGCATGACCAACCCATTCTCATTGCGTTATTTGACGAATCTGGTACTGATACCTATCTCTACAGTCCCTTTCCCCTGAGGAACAGCGTCTCTTCCGCCTTTACGGCAAGCTCCCCTCTCGATCCGACCATTTCGCCAAGCACTTGAAGGACCGCAAGTACTTCGATTCTGGCGACTACGCCATGTCAAAGGCGGGCAAGGGCGATAGTGTCGATACTGGCGCTGTCGGATCCCAGCACCCCGTTCCCGAGAACATCCCCCATCTCTCGAGCCCCGTCAACAACTCCTCGTCCTCCCTCAACGGCAACAAGCACCACGGCAGCATCGCCGCCGGTGCCCACGCCGGCAGCCCTGTCAAGGAGGCGAGCTTCCTCAACAGGGAGACCAGCGCTGAAGAGGCCGAGCTCAAGGACCAGGAAAACACCTCTCCAGTAGATGGAGCCGCAAAGACCGAGGCTATCCCTATCCGGAGATGAGGCCCTGTAGGACCTTTTCGTCTATACTCTCTCCCTTGTCCCAAGTTTCGTAAAGGTGTTGTCCACACTACACGACGGCAAATTGGGTTGTTTCACGGGGCCGAATTTCTACTACGATGTTATGATGCTGTGTTGATGTTTTCACGGGTCTCCTAGGCGTTAGAATGGGGTTGGGAACCAAGTACAAATGGTTGTTGAATGGACCGAGACGATTGTCTCTGAGTTTGTCTGCTGTGGAAGGACTTGCGGATTACGACGCTTTCAAGGTCGCGCTACTGGATATCATGTCCGCGATGTACGGCACTATTGCGAAGACTGAAGCTTTTCCGTACATGGGTTTTTTTTTTTTTAGGACTGAAGGGGAGTATGAGAGAAGAACGACAGGCATATGGCGGCAACTAAATCGAAACCCCCTTCGTCTTATCCGTATGTGCGCATGGCAGCGTTTGCGTTGTCCCTCAAGCCCTTCACTCTACAGGCGAGGGTTGAGCGCGCAAATGCGAATCTTACGAGTGACCACCTTGTTTGTTCTCGTGGGCAGCACATGCTCCCCTGCCGACCATCCAACTCTCCTCTGTAGTCCTATGGAGGCCCTCTACCTGCTGCACAGCTTAGAGTTGTTAGTTTTGCTCGATCCGAGCAAGTCACAAATATGCCCACGGCTTTCAATATCAAAATGATAACGTGACGGGAACCCAATCTATTGATGAGCAATAAGACACTTCTTTTGATGCCATACGCCGTTCCGTATCCCAGTAACCTTCCTCCCAGTGGACAAACTCTATAGGTGCCCTTTTTCACAGATCCAGGCCTTTGATCGCCATATCTTTGGCGCCTTCAAAAGTCTTGTTTCCTCCAATGAAGCCCGCAGCGTGTACAAAGACGCAGCCGGGGATGCCAGAGATGCCGTCCAATTCCGCATCTCTGAATCCGCGCCACGCCTCGGGCAAGGGCTTGCGGCTCTCGAAAGAGTCCTTGGTGACGGGCACCGCCTGCACACGCCACTTGGCATCGGGGGTCGGCTTCTCGGGGTACAGGACGTAAACCACCGAGGGGTTACCTCCCTCGAGGGAGTAGAGGTGGTCCTTCCAGGGTGCGCTCTGGCCCTCGAGGACGAGCACGCGGCCCTGGGGGTCGTACTGGGTGCGCTTCTCGAAGGCGGCCTGCACGACGGCGCGGGCGGGCAGCCATGCCTTGGTGTAGTAGTCCAGATCGGCGTCAAACTCCTCGCCGATGCGGCGGCTGGCCTTGACGAAACGCTCATCCTCGAGCCTCTGGGCCTCAACGGGGTCAGAGGGAACCGGGTCGTTCCAGTTGGGGTTCAGGCGGCCGACGACAGAACCGAGGGTGAAGGCGCCCTCGCTGAAGCGCTTCTCGAGACCCGCGGCGGCGACGGCCTTGGGGTCGTAGACGGAGATGCCGTTGTCGTGGGCGTCCAGGGCCTCGACGAAGCTCTCGTACAGCTTGTTCCACAGCAGCTCGACTTCGGCGCTGTCCTCGGCGACGGGGGTCTCGGCGCCCTCGCTGAGCTTCTGGGCGATGATGGCCTTGCCAAAGTGCATGAAGACGAGACCGGCGCTGGAGAGCTTGGTGTTCTTGCCGGGGAAGGTGGTGGCGAAGCCGCGCTGGTGGTGGTCGTAGCGCTTCTTGCCGTCGTCGTACTCGCCGCCGACGTCGACGACGGTGTGGCAGGTCTCGAGAAGCTTGGGATCGCGGGTGCGAATCAGCTGGGAATCGTGGTAGGTGGGCAGCTTGCGCAGCATGTGCACAGCGAGGGCCTCATCGGCGTGGAAGTGGCCATTGTGGGTGCCAATGGTGACGGGTGACATCTTGAGTCTCTTTGCTGCGTTTTCGGCCATTCGTAGAGGTTTGAAGAAACGGAACATACAACTGATGGACGGAAACGAATAATGACGAAGTTTGAGAATTAAAAAAGCGGTTGTGGGAACTGCAGTTCAATGATTTTCAACAAGTCTCTCTCTCACTGGTGAAGGAAGAATTGGAGAGTTTGAGATGTGATAGCCACACCCCGCTTCGACACACCCACACCCCACACCCTCTCACCTTAGGAGGTCTCTTATCTGAACTCCCTGCGTGTCTCTATTCTTGACGCTTTTCCCAAGCTCTCACTGGAGAGTGGCCAGGAACGTGCATCGCAGCCTCGTCGTCGCCCTGCATCCGCGCGCCCGTGGAAACTCCATACTCGAGCAACAGTCAGCCGTAAATGTCATCAATACCAACCCCAAATCTGTCCCATCGTCAATGGTAGAAGTCATTCGCCATCCGTCATCTACGGCCAAATCCCCATTTCTTCAATCGATTGATACAAACCTCCAAACTACGATTAACTAGCTTCCCTCTACGACTTACGAAAACTCTCCCGTGTCGTCCGCACCGATGCCATCCGCGATGAGCGACGCCAACGGCACCGTCGCGACCCGCGACGTCAAGGCCGAAGGTCAAGAGACCGAAGACGAGGAGAATGGAGAGGGAAAGGCGACATACAAGTCATGGAAGAAGAAGTATCGCAAGATGCGCATCACTTTTGATCAAAAGATGCACGACTGCGAGGAATTGCATCGCCAAGAGTCCCTGGCACTTGCCACTGCGAAGCGCATCGCCATCGAGAATGAGTAAGTATCTTCTTGGAATCAATTTGCAGTCCCGTGCCAGCGCAGGTCGTTGCCGAGTCGTTGCTAATCCTCGGCCACAGTCGTATACTCGATCTGCTGCTCGACATGAACTCCTCGGCACAGCTGCCCTTTGACAAGCGCTTCGATATCTCACAAGACCCGCCCGAAGACACGTCGTTCCCACCTCTTGACGTCGATAAGTCTGGAAAGAAGCCCGATGAACCTACCAAGTCGTTGGACACACTCCTCAAGGAGGTACCGCATTATACCTACTCCCAAGCAAAGGAGCAGGACCCCACCGTCGTGGCCGACATGGAACCGTTCTCCGGCGAGCCTCACCCTCCTTCGTTCCTGACGGCCGACGACATTGACGACTACATCCACGACGTGGACCGACGTATCGACCCCGATAACCTCCTCCCGACGCTGGCCCCGGTCGCCCGCAGCAACGCTCCTCTTCCGGAGACCAACCCGCACGCCCTTTCTCAGACGATTGCGATGAAGAATCCCACGAGTGTCTACAATTGGCTCCGTAAGCACGCGCCAAAGACCTTCCTACAGGATGCCGAAAACGCCGCACCCGCCGGAGACGAAGAAGCAGCCGAGGCACCTCCGACAGATGGCCGGAGGCGACGCGGCGGCGGCGCGTCAAGGGGCGAGACTCGGGGTGGTCGCGGATCACGAGGCGGTAAACGTGCCTCGCTCGCCGCCGTACGAGCCGAGAAAGCCGCGCAGCGAGCCGCGGAGAAGGCGGCCGCGGCGGCCGAAAGGGCAGCTGCCCTGCGGCGCGACGCGGATAGCTACGACCACAGTATGGACGAGGCCGACTCGGACGGTCCCAGCTTCGCGACGCCGGCCACGGGTCGGGGCAAGAGAAAGCGCGCCGGCAGAGACGATGACGACGGATACCGACCCCGAGGCTCGAGCAGCAGGCCGACTAAGAAGAAGCGCAAGAGCGAGAGCGCCGACGTAAGCACCCCGACCGTGTCCAAGAGAGGCCGCAAGAGCGAGCTCTCCCGCGACAGAGACGACTAGAAGCTGCGTCGATGTAAATTGCCAGGTTGGTCGTCGGATGACTGATCGATATTCTTTTCTTTTTTTGGGAGGCCAACCGAGATATCACAAGCCATCAGGCTGGAATGCTTTAGATGTCATGATTGAGATGGCCCTGTATGCTGTGGCCCTGGTCGGGCAGCTGAGAGTCAAATCAGCACAAGAAAAACTTTTCTTTTCCTAGACTTGTACACTACATCATGCATCGACGGATCTCCTTTTCATCATTTTCCTTTGACCTGTTGGTCTTTCCCCCGCCCATCTAGCGTGGGGGCCTCATGAGCAATGGATGTGGACAGGCTCAAGAGGAAAGACAGTGAGGACGAAACGGAGAGAGAGCTGGGGCGCTGAAGCTCAAGGAAACGGCGCAACGGGATTTCTTAACCGGATCCAGATTGGGATGGGCAAAATTAGGGAGTAGCAATGGTACATCGTCTTTCCTTCTTACATTGCTCTCTGAAAATGCACTGCTGAATACCAAATATCTTTTGAGATGAGGGATCTCTATTCCATTGCGGAGGGCGGAGATGGCGAGATAGCTCACAACTCACTCAGCATATCATCGAGCTTTGGGACTTGCTTTTTTGTTCTCTTTTATTGGCTGTGGATCTCGACATTTGGTATTTACCAACGGTAGCCGCATCACTATGTACAAACAAAGCCAAACCCTCCATATGCCATGTGTCAATATGCTGGAACCAGATGATATCAAGTTGACTAGAACAGAAACCAGAAAGAACAAAGAGCCGACGGGAAATACAGAGAGATGATCCATCATGCTTCTGCAGCTTCGATATGCAAGAGAGAAAACAAGATTCGCATGTTCACGCAGGTTAGATACAGAAGGCCCTCTTCCCCGCATACGCGAAGGGGGAGCTTCGTAGATCGTGGATTGTTCCGCCTCCTTTCTTATGTCTTGAAGGTTCGTCTATCCCATAGGAAGCCGACTTTCGCCCCCTCTCTCTACAGAATGTAGCGTTTTCTTGAGGTCTACAAGGGTGTTGTTTGTTGATTTGAACAACGGCGGGTCCGCATTTCTTTCTTTGGTGGTTTTCTCTGAATTTACAACTTCTCCTTGAGGATGTTCTTCATGCGGCGCTCGACGGCGTTGAGGTACTCGTTGGTGGTGACGTAGTCAGAGCGGGCGGTCTTGCCGCAAGCGAGGGCCAAGTCCTTGGTCATGATGCCGTCAACGTCGACGGTGTCGATGCAGGCCTTCTCGAGGGACTCGGCAAAGGCGACGACCTCGGGGGTCTCGTCGAGCTTACCGCGCTGAATGAGACCGCGGGTCCACGCGAAGATGGAGGCGATGGGATTGGTGGAGGTCTCGTTGCCCTTCTGGTGCTCGCGGTAGTGGCGGGTAACCGTGCCGTGGGCGGCCTCGGACTCGAAGGTCTTGCCGTCGGGAGTAATGAGGACCGAAGTCATGAGGCCGAGGGAGCCGAAGCCCTGGGCGACGATGTCGGACTGGACGTCACCGTCGTAGTTCTTCAGGGCCATGATGTAGCCACCGGAGGACTTGACCATCTGAGCAACCATGTCGTCAATGAGACGGTGCTCGTACCAGATGCCAGCGGCCTCGAACTCGGCCTTGTACTTGGTCTCGTAGAGCTCCTGGAAGATGTCCTTGAAGCGGCCGTCGTACTTCTTGAGAATGGTGTTCTTGGTGCTCATGTACAGGGGCAGCTTCTTGGTGAGGGCGAGCTTGAAGGAAGCGTGAGCAAAGCCGGTGATGGACTCGTCAGTGTTGTACTGGGTCTGAGCAACACCGCCGCCGTTCTTGAACTTGTAGACCTCAATCTCCTGGGGCTCGCCACCCTCGGGGGTGTAGACCATCTTCAGGGTGCCGTTGCCGGGGAGAACGGCATCCTTGGCGCGGTACTGGTCGCCGAAGGCGTGACGGCCGATGATGATGGGCTTCTTCCAGCCGGGCACCAGGCGGGGAACGCGGGGGATGACAATGGGCTCGCGGAAGACGGTACCGCCGAGGTGGTTGCGAATGGTTCCGTTGGGGGAGAGCCACACTGTTGGGAGGGGAAGGGAGCCATTGAGTTAGTCCATGTTCTTTGTACTGCTAGGTAGGGTTGCTTTGGGGTGCTTTAGGAGAGGGCCATTGATGACAGGATCTTTGATGTGCGGCCACTGGAATTGTGCAGTTTGCGAAGGGGTGCAGAGAGGGGGATCATATGCAATGCGCCGGCGCTGCATCCCCGGAGTGCGGGGAGCTGGAGAATGAGACAGGTCCCACGGCGCGGATGCGACAAGCCCGGGGGTTCGATCTGACCAGTCCAACGGCCGGTGGGAGACTCTTGAGCGGGCAAGGAACAGTGCCGGAAGAAGGGGGAAGGTAGACGGCGAAAAGACATCCACTGCGCGTTACTTACTCTGCTTAAGCTTGAACTCCTCCACGCGCTGCTCATCGGGAGTGATGGTAGCGCACTTGACACCGACCGAGTACTTCTTGATGGCCTCGGCGGCGTCGAGGGTGACCTTATCGTTGGTCTCGTCACGGTAGGGCAGGCCGAGATCGTAGTACTTGAGGTCGAAGTCGAGGTAGGGGTGGATGAACTTATCCTTGATGGTCTGCCAGATGATGCGGGTCATCTCGTCGCCGTCGAGCTCGACGACGGGATTCTTGACCTTGATCTTGGCGGCGGCGGCCATTGTGCGGGCAAAGTTGAAGGAGGCGGAGGAGGAGAAGGAGGCGGAAGACTGGGGAACGATGAAGGAGGGCCGGAGAGCAAAGGTTGCGGGACGGCGGAGGAAGCGGGCTGCGTTCATGATGGGCGGTTTGCGAGGCGGCGCGCGGGAGGAATTGGGATTTGAGGGATTGTTTTCGGCTTTTCGGTCGGGAAGGCGGCGGCGGGGGAGCTTCTTGGGCCGCGGTTACTAGGAGGAGCCGGGTCGTGTGATCCGGTAGTGAGCTTCGGGTGGTGGCGGCGGCGGCGGCAGAAGCAGATGCAACGGCACGATGACGGGCTTGCTGCAGGCTGTCAAGAGTGCAGACTGTACGTGCGGATGAGGCGCCTGACAGCTAAGCTACGAACAAGGTGCTGACGATCGCGAAGCTAAGGATGCTCTGGTGGTGCTTTTTGGAGAAGGAGGAGAAGGATGGAAGGTTTGCTTGCAAAGGATAGGCAGCAAAACCGCGAGGAAAAGATTGGTTGAGGGGGAGGAGCGAAAAGAGGCAAAGTGGCCGGTTGCAATTGAGACCTTGTCGAAGCAAGAAAGGACAGGAAAAGGGCAAGTCGCGCAAGAAGTTCACGCAGTAGAAAAACCGCAGTCGCAGCAGCAGGAGAGAGCGGGATGGCAGCCGAGCCGAGATCGTCACAGGTGTGCCTTCCGGGGACCGGTGTGTGGGTGTGTGACGGTGTGAGGTAGAGGTACCGCCACAGCTCTGTTTTTGCGGGTATCTCCTCCCAGTCTGTCACTCTTCGTTGGTCGCAAGGTAACGGCTTGTAAGTAGCAAGACTAATGAGAATGCTCAAAAGGCATGGATAGCATCGGCCCCCGGCCAGTCTTGCCTCAAGGGGTTGTGGTTCCAGTCTCTTTTCCTCCGTCTCGGACCTCTCTTCGGCCTTTGCGCTTCTCGGGGCTCATGATCCTGACTCTGATGAGTTCTTTTCATCATCCTATATCGGCGGTCTCTGGGCATTCTTCAGTCCTTGCCAGATCTTTGGAGCTAGAGAAGGTTTTTTGCGACATTTTTCTAGTGTGACTCTGAGAAGGAAATATGGCAAAAGAACAGCTACCTACGCACAGCTTCTTCGCGCAACCCGTCGCATGACTGAAAAGCAATACAACGCAAATCTTCTGCAGCAACTTTTTTTGCTGTTTTTTCTACAGTGGTTGTCTCAGAAATACCACCTGTGACCCTTTCCTGGGCCTTGGCCCGTCTCTGCTGTTTGCGGACCAATGCCAATTCGTCATCTACTCTGAGAGGAGAGGAGCATGGGGAAGCAATGCATGAAAGCAGCGTGATTGGAAGGGTTAATAGGCCTCTCTCTCATAAGAAATACAAAAGGTCACCCTTGTCACGAATTTGTCCAGTCTTCCCTCCTCTTCCGAATCCCATGTCCTCCCACCACCCACCCCACATGTTGCCAGAGAGCTTCGTGCGGGGAAAGCAACCAAGACAGTCGAGACGAAACCGCATCCCAAAGTTGGTCACCAGATGATTTTGCGCACAGCCGATTGTTTCGTCTGTTGTCAGCTTGCTTGCTGCTGCGCTCTCTTGTAGTTAGCTTTTTGTCGGATGGGGAAGTTCATGCTGTGGACCTGAACTTGAGATGAAGGTAAATTCGATCTTATCAAAGTATGGGGACGGTGAAATAGGCGTTTTCTCGGCATCGTGTCACTTTGGTCTCGCGTGCGGAATTTCTCCTGCCCGCAGCTACCCCCAAAACGCTTCAATCGCTTTCGCAAAGGAAGTTGTGTCATATCTACAGCCAGCGCATAGGTAGTCAGCCGTGTCGACTCATGACAGAGCCTTCTCACTCTCGACGTACTATGTCAGTGGTTCCCTGCAATAGCTTCAAAGGAAAAAAAAAAACATTTTGCTTTCCAACTGAGCCCCGCCATGACTGCTTTTTCCTGCATACAGCGGAGCTGGACCTGCTCCGATCTCGGTCGCACTAGGCCCGCAGACCCGACCTCCCGCGATAAGATCACAACGACCACCGAAGGAAGCACCGAGGAGTGGAGCTGGCTTCGTTACATAAGCAGCGACTTACCATCTCAACCATCCCTTACCTAAGCAAAGAGTCACGTGTCAATCAGCTTCTCCTAGATGGCGTCCTGTCATCGACCGCTGACAGCGTCAGCTCAGCACGCACGGTATCGCTCCGTCCCTCGCGACCCGCGGGACCTCGTGCATGTACGACCGACACTCAAGATCAAGATTCACCCCGGCCTCATGCCGTAGATCAACGTATACGAATTGCGCAGTTGTTGTCAGGCGTGCAACTCTGCAAAAGGAGACACCCCTCTCTCTATGTCTCCGCCCGCCTAACAGGAAGGATGGAAACCTGCAATGTAACAATATATGGTCCTTTTTTGGTGTTCGTGGGCGTCTATTTTCCGTTTAATGCCTGTCAGATATCGATAGTTCGCAAAGCACAATGCCACTTTGCCTCAGCTGAAAATACCCCCGACATTCGTCTTCGTCCTCGTCAGACCTTGGCGTACGGAGTCTTCCTCTCTTTCTCTACTCCGTCCTACGGATACCTGTCATTACCTACCTGGTATTAGCCCCGTATTCGTGCCATCTGGGTCTCGGACGAGAGGAATATAACGTACAAGGCCGCAGGCGGCCCGGTAATAGCAACCGAGGACGGGCTTGCATCTTGCTACGTACTACCGCTGTCCGCTGCCGCTGTCACAGCCACACTCTGCCCAGCCGTTTGTCTCAGTCGCATCTCACTACGTCTCACTTTCTGGGACCTCTTCAGCCCTATCCCAAGAGGTTTCCCTTCCGACTTCCAAGCTTTCCATACCACACCCTTCTCACTTTCCCCTCCAGATCCTCAACATCATCTCACTTTCGTTTCTTTTTTCTTCCTCCTCTTTCTCAGGCTTGTCTTTTTTTACGTTTCGCTTCAGAGACACACAGGAAAAGGCGGGAGTTTTGCGGTTACGGTCGATCGGAATAGTCGGTCAAGTGTCTCACTCCTCAACAGCAGAGACAAAGGTATCATAATTCAACCCTGTCGTCTGTCGGCCGTCATCCTTCCGGGCCTTCCTATGTATGTACCTGCAATCACGGGGAGGATCTTCACTGCCGTTGTCCGATCCAACTCTGTGACTTTGTCTTTTTCTCTCTATACCAGTTCCAGCCAGATGCCACCTCACCTTGCCTTAATTCGCAAGAAACAAAAGACCGTCACGACACCATGAACCCCTACGCCCTTTTGTATCTCGCCCTTTTGTATTTGACGTTTGGCAAAAGTTCCGCCCTTCCTTCTCCCCGTCACGAAGCTACCCTTACTACTGCGAGTAGGCGTACATCAGTTCTACGGATAGTGATTGTGATAATGACGACGATGATGATAACGCACCTTGGCCCATGACTCACCAAGTCCAAAAGCCGGGCAGGCTATAACGCATGAGGAAAACAATCAAGAAAGTCCAGGGTGATTGGGAAAACACGAAAGCTAATGCACAGCAATCCTCACGACGTTTAGTTCCTCTCCCTTCCCCCCCGATCCGAAATCCGTATCCGCCATGCCGCCATGCAATGTCCCATCGACCCATGTCACAATTGGCGCTAAACACCCAAGACATCAGCGGAGTCGCGGAGTCGTTGATCACCTAGTGGCTCTATGGTTCAAGAACCGAGGCCAAAAAAATCAGGTAGCGAGAAACTCGCGAGAAATAAGCCACAGCTTCGCTTCTTCCTCCTTGTTTCAACCTCATTCGTACCGCCGAAAGTAAGTCAAAGGTATTACTGTAGTAACTGTACTAAGCCTGCTCGTCCGCATATCAACCTGCATCCTCGCATGTTAGGCATAGAGAGAGGCTAAGGAAAAAGGGACCTCTCAATGCCCACTGGTAACACAGACTTGTTCCAAAAAATCATCACCGCCTCATTAACCTCGCCCACGCCTCTAATCCGCATAAACGCTTCAATACCCATTCGCCCAAATCGTTTCCCTTGCAGCATGGTGCCCATGCCCATCATCCTCTTCCTTGACTTGGACTCGAACGCTATTTCTCCTATACACTAATGTCTGCCTAAGTTTCAACTCTCTTGACTACGCCGTACACGTACCCAAGCAAGCCCCGCGCGCGAATCCTGAAATGCTACCTGGGCGCGTTTAAAGCGTGATGCCCGCCTAACGCGCGCAAACGTAGATACATATCCCCAGGCGCTTCGGCGGTGGGCCAGGCGGTCAGGTTATCGGCATTGGCAAATGGCAAATGGCAAACGGCAATGTTGTTATTGTCATTTTACTGCGTCGTCAGTTGAAGGGAGAGTATCCGTATGCATAGCCTTAATGTGACGTCAAATCAGATAATACCGGACTCAACGCCGAGCTTCCTAGTCTCACAGTCTTGTCTCATCTCATCTCATCCAATGTAGGCAAACTGACGGGGAAAAAATGTAAACTAATATTATTATAATACTCCCGTGAGCTGACGGGTTACACAAAAAGTAGAGACATGAGAAGAGAAAAAAGAAAAAAAAAAAAAAAAGGCCCGAGGTGGTCCACGGTAGAAAAGGACCATGCACCAATCACCCCCGACTCATCCCATGCCCGCTACCTTACGTAGTTCTATGTAATGCGCGCGTGTGTGTATGTACCTCGAGGTATACTATGTACGTTCGTTCCACCGTCAGCAATTATGTGCGGTAATCTGTCGATTCTAAGCCACCACCGCCCGTCTCCCCGCACCCTGCAGCTTCCAATACAATGTTTCCCCCCTCCCCATTCCATCCATCCCACATCATCGTGTGTCTCTTTGCAGTTAAACAAGCACTGAGAACGCCCTGCCCCATCAATGATCACCATCACCATCACCATCACCATCATCATCATCACCCATTCCCACAAGGCTGTCTCGGTGACACGGTGTCACTATAGACAAGCAGAAGCGCGCGTTTCACCGCATCCTTCTCCTTTGCCGTCCTCCACCTCGACTGCCACCACAACCACATCCACGCCCGCTCTCTGCTCACCTTACCTTACCTTACCCTAAGCTACCGTTCGATTCGGCAGGGTGGACAAGATAAAGCTCGCCACGGCACAGTAGTGTAGCTTCCTTCCGCGGAGGCAAAAAGCTTCCTTCCGTCATTCCCTAAGCGAGACCTCCGTTGTGTAGGTATCCGTATGAAAGGTAGATGGTCTCATCTGATGTGCTTAGCTTCCCGCTCCCCCGTCAGCTGTGCGATGTATGTATGTAGATGCATTTCGAATTCAGGGTATCTTTGTCTTTCTTGTCTCGTTGTCTGCCTTCTCCTCTTGGCGGATTACTCTGTAATGTCTTCCTGTTTCCTTGGGCCGAAATCGTTATCGTCGTGTAATAGTGTAGTTTGTCGTAATGGTCATCGTCGTCCATCTCCTCTCCTCTCCTCTCCAACCCCCCCTCCAAAGAAAAAAACAGTAAGCCGTCGTCCGCATCCATCCAGTTTGACAATACCTCGCCATCCCATCCGATCAGCCCAGTAAGGCCCCGTGCCGCAATGCGAGGAGACCGAGATGCCCGCCCCATATTAAACCATTACAACCACCTCTCATGGTCCCGAATATGCCTTGCGCCACACCTGC